TAATATTTCATTCTTACTACAACGGTGGGTAAAAGAGCAGGAGGCAATAACATCAATCCGTCCAGCGGCAATTTTAAGAGATGATTAATTTCAAACCCTCTATATGCCTTTACTTAAACTTCTGACTGTAGAATGCTTCTCGCGGGGCTATTCGATCTGCGGCCATTTATGAGTCAAACGAGGCCTGTGAGAAAATGTACTTGCCCACAGTTAATACAGAGTGGTTCTTACCTTTGTTGACCGGTTCGCGGCTATGCGCTTCACGGCGACCTGTGCACTGCCGGCTGCGAGGCGCATAAAATTTTGACGATGAATCAATTTGCCTGTTAGCCGATAACGTTCGTAATGAAGTAGTTACAATTCACAGATCACGTAAGGTGTTGAAAATACTGTCCCTCTACACACAGACATTCCTCGCAGTGGCGGAAGAGGTACTGATTTACCCTTTGAAGATGTTCTGCGGTTTTCCCTACGAATATTTTATTTTAGTTCTTCCGTTCAGGGATTACTGTAACAAACTTTATCGTTCAAACACTCCAAAAATAAAAAATAAAATAAAAAACACAAGGAGTACGATCGGATGAACGTGTTGGCCAAAAATCACTGTTTATATTTCTGTCTCCGAAGACATCGGACAAATCCTACATAGACATACGTGCAGTGTGACAGTAGCTGAGTCTTTCTTCTTCTGTAAACTTTGGAAAAAACTGCTTCTGAATGACCTGTACACATTTTTCGCAATTAGTGGTTTCGTTAACTAACACATGCCCAACAACCCTTCTTACATTTACAGCATACCAGACACTACCTTTAACTGGATGGAGTGGGACTTCGTGGGTTAGATGTGGATTCTGTGAACTCCTGTACCGATTATTTTGCGTATTTATGTATCCCTGCAAGGGAAAATACGCTGGTGAGGTATGTGAAGGGGAAGACATCTACTCAGTTGGGTCCCTTAGAAAGAGCTAACCTCAACCACTGGTCTCCTAAACCCCGCATCTGAAGACGGAAACAGCTCAGTTTCCGAAACGTCGTGGTTTCTAGTCTCTAGAATGCCGGACGATGGAAAAGGTCCAGAAATCCAGTAATTCTGAGAACAGAGGCGTAACTCTACCGTTTTGGACCCCGGCAGCATACGGAGATGACTGGTCAGCTTGACGCCCCGGCCGCTTTACTCCTGGTACCCACTGGATAGAAGGCTGAGTGGGCCCCAGAGACGGTCTGGACGCTGTGGAATACAAAATTGTGTTCCTCCTGCGGGGAATCGAACCCCAGCTGTCCAGCCCGTAGCCCGTCGCTATACCAAGTGAGCTACCCCGGTTCCAATACTTGCCCATACTACATAAATATTTACGATGCTATTTTTACATCGAACTTTAGGAAACGGGTTGTTTTCATCACCACCATGTTTCCGGGTTCTCAATAAATAATATTCTATACATTTTAGATTTCACGGCAATCATGCAACGGGGGATCTTAAATCGGCAGCGGATCTCGTCGTTGGTCATTGCCTCGATTAATATTTCAGAAATCGGCACTGGATTATTAAAAACTATTTCCCCTAAAACTTGCAGACAACGGAAAACGAGATCCGATCGCGTGACATGTGCTACCACTTACGAGGAAATGGCTCAAGTGATGACCGAGCAACGAAGAACAAAATATTTTGAACATACTATATTTTTGTGAAATTATGTTACTACGCTTCAACAAACGTTTCTTTTGAGTACTTCCTTATCTGCTAGCTCCGAGTTGAAAACACTTCTCAGGGGTCATATGCTACAAACAAATTAAAGTTTACTGACATCCCTCCACCCACAAAAAAAAAAAAAAGGAAAGGTCACCGAAAACTAGAACAAGGCAAAAAGTCAATGGATGATCCCTAACAAAGAAATCGGTCTAGTGTACATAAACAAACCCCAGCTCTAACCTGCCTGGATCGTCACCAAGCATCAGTCAAAATGGATGTGGGAATTAGACACGAAACTATCTTTAACTCTTCACAAGGCTTGGAAGGAAATACGGCATATATCAGACAGAAGACGTAGGTCGGTTTCATACATGGGTGTTGTCCAAGACCTGAGCAATGCTTAGGAGCCTGGGTGTCTAGGAAAAGAATCTATACCTTATGCACGAGATATCTAAAGTTTTATGAACTAATGTGGTAAACCACAGGAGCAGAAGCAGCCCCTCGATTCTGGGGTGAAAGTGGCTTCAGTGGGGTGGGGGGGGATACAGAGTAGATTCCAGAAAAGCTTTCCTTCATGTGCAGGTGGGAAAGCTGAGCCAGGCAGTGGATCATCAGCAGATCAGACAAGTTTTCAGATAATGGGAGCAACAAATATACCATGTAAGATTTGAGGCTTTCACGGCGGTGACTATGAAGAAAGCAGTCTTCTGGGATTTGGCACCGTGTATATGTGGTGTTAACCGACGTTCATCCGAAAGACTGCTTTCTTCAACAAATATACCACTTTGAAAAAAGAAAAGGATTAAGAGATTTGGTGTTCTCATGGCAGAGTCTGTCTTCTAGGATGTGGCATGTACATTCTGATAGATAATTACCCACAATTCAGAAGAACGTGCTGCCTCCATCCTCTGGGTAGAACAGTAAAGAGAATTACTTTTCTACCTCACAAAAGAGTGAAATAATACGGCATTCACAAAAATCTACAAACATGCTTCATTCTTCTCTCTTCTTCTGGTTCTGATCAGGGACTTTCAGTGTTCTGAGTAAACTAATGAACACTTGACAATAAAACTGTCTTCAAATATACTTGATTTCATAACTAGTTATATGTTTGCCAGTAAATATTTCAATATACTTTATAAAAATTCTGAGATACAGAAATCTAACAAAGTTTACTCTATTTCAGCAATGATTCTCCTTCAATGTGTCCACCCCTTTATTCTGACACACCTTCAATCTTCTAAACCAACTTTGGAACCAAGATGTCTCTCACTTTAAAGTACTGCTGTTCCTGCCAAAATATACTGAGTAAGCCTTCAGAGACTGAAAATCAGTGACCTTGAAGCAAAGACTGAATTGCAGGTTAAATGGGTGCATAGTTATCCTTCATAGATTTCCTTTTGTGTTCAAGTACTTGCAGGGATATGATATGATATGTCATAACATGCCCTCTAAAGGTGTCTCCACCTTGTCGTGGTGGCGGGGCTTGCGTGACTCTGTGACTTGGAGAGCTATGCTGGCGGTAGTTTAACTACCAGTAGTGTCACCCATGCTGGAAAGGTCAAAGGGTAGAGTCCAGACTAAGAGAGACATCCTGGTCCTCCAAGTTGGGGGTTGGGCATGAGGCTAACAACCTCATCCTATAAACAGAATTTTGTTCAGAAACCTAACAACCAGCCTTGGGTCATTATGCGTGGATCCATTCCTATGGCAGCACGCAGTGGTTGTGGAGACTGGTTGTACAGAAGGCCAGGCTCACCCAGGGCTATAGCGCTGAGTGGTAGGTAGGTATGTCATAACATATTCTATAATGGATTATACTTGTATGCTATCCTTTCTGAACTCAATATCAATAAGTGAACTGTCCTATACATTTTCTGGAATACTTTTTAACTGTTTTATGCACATACTGGGTTCAGTTTGTGTGTGAGTGACTGCTCTGTATTATTACAGCATGCCTACACAAAGAAGAATATGTGTATAAGGAACAAATCATTCTCATCTAACTGCCTGTCACTGAATTACACGTATTTTGGGTTTCCTTATGATTACTTGATCTCATACATACTTTTCTAAAATGCTCAAAATTGGTTTTATTTGCATATTTTATACCTTGCCCTATGAATACATATGATACTCCTGGTCTTTGACAAAATGAGTTATAAAAGGATGTGAATGATTACAGTTATTTGCAAAGTGTTCTTTGCTGCACATGAATTTATGATTCTAGCTGTTATTTGGGTGGCTTACTTCTAAAACCAAAGAATGGGAAGTTGAATGAAAAAAAAAATATAGTTGTCTCTGTACTTAATTAAACACCACGCTATAAAGACATATGGGGAAGTGAAGGTATAGCTCCACCATTCTTGGTCTCAGCACTAGATGGGAAGTGACTGGTTGGCTTCACACCCTGGCTGCTTTACCCTTAGCAAAAGATCCTCTAGTATCCACTGGACAGGAGGCTGGCTGGGTCCCAGAGCCGATATTGGCGCTGTGGAGTAAAGAAAAATGTCTTTCCCATGCCAGGGATCAAACCTCGCACATCTAGCCCATAGCCCACTGCTATACCGACTCAGTTATCCCAGGGGAGTTACCGTATCTATACAAATTACTGCCGATTTTAGGTGTATAAGATTCAGCGATGGGACGCCGTGTAGTCTGTTAGAAGTTTACCGACCTTTCGGAGGAACGTACTGCCTCCATCTTCACGGTCAAGCAGTACGCCATTCAAGTAGCAAGCAGAGCAAGCACTCTGCCTACTTACTGGATGCGTGGCTTGCTCTTCAACCCTGACGATGCCGGCCGTACGTTTCCACCAGACTACACGACGTCAAATCTGAGATGATAGTCCTGATCACTGTCACCGCCTTGAGAAACTCAAATCCAACATGCGAATACTTACGACTTTTTCACTTTTAACTTACTGTATTCTGAAACCACATTCAACTTTCAACTACGCGACTTTAAGTAATATTTCTAATGATGTTTATCGCACAGAAACGTTACTTACACTACATTAGCAATTAGCCTGAAGAAGAGTGTAATTTGTAAACTTGAACATTCTATTTAATTTTTGAGGTTTTCACGGCGATGACAATGAAGAAAGTTGTCTTCTGGGTTTAGGCACCGTGTATTCTTCGTTTTGGCCGACGTTNTGTGTACAGATTAAAGGTACATACTTAACTAATTAAATATCAAATCGATGCTCATTCAAGCCCAAAAACTGACATCCCTTCCTACTGGCCCAACCCAGCATAATAACAAAGCGGTCTGGCAGGCGAAACGCCTTGACTGAAACTTAAGCACGTACCTGCAATAACTGTATCACTTAGGTTATACTTCTCTCCTGCGTTTGGAAAATCCTTCAGTTTTCTTCCTGTTAACTTTAACTCGCCACTTAAATGTGCTTCTTCTAATAATCGTTCTAGAGACCGTGTAAGTTGACTTTGTAAGTGACCGCTCATCTTCGTACCAACCATCGCCATGTTACAACTCTCATCCTTCTACAGCAATGTTTTGTGGGTACTTTCTACGTCACTGCGGCGAGGGCACACCTTATAGTGCTTTATAGTGTCGTCTGCTAGCACACGTAAATAGTTGCACGTGCTTTCACTGCCCGGCTGAATGTTATTTCCGTGCATAAATAATAACACACGCATATAATAATCAGACAGGCTGGAGGATATGCAAATATATATCAATTTTGATATATTTTGTGCTCTAAGTGACAACTTCTAAAAACTATAAATCCTTTATATGAATTATATTTTGGATTTCGGGTTCTCAAAGCAGCAACTATGAAGAACACTATTTTCTGAGGTATGACACCGTTTAGTCTAGTAGGGGTTCACCGAAGTTTGGGGGGTTTGGTGGGAACGTACTGTCTCCCATCTTCAAAGTCTTCTTGCTTGTCATATTGTTTGACCTTGAAGATGGAAGCAGAACAGTCCTTATTTTATGGAATGTGACGCCGTGTAGCCTGGTAGAATTTCGTCAGAGTTTCAAAGGACTGTACTGTGCCCGCCATCAAAGTCTCCTTCCTGTTGCTTGGCTTATTGTTTGACATGAAGATGGTAGAGGCACATTCCTCCAAAACGTTGAATTTATACTGCACTAAATGGTGTAACATCCCTGAAAATAATATTCAACAGTTGTATTTGATTCTGCTGTGATAGTTTGAAGGTCACGGTTATATTCAGGAGCTCCATGGCTCAAATCTTGGCCCAAAGGCAGGCTGTTCTGAGGTTTTCTTAACCTCTTTTGATGAATCCTGATCTAGTAATTTAAAATGGCCCACTTTCTTCCACATCCTTTTCTATTCATACACAATTACCCTGATACTTGACAAGGAAAGCATTAATAAACCTCAAAGCTAGTCTCAATGCTGAGTGCTCATTCAATGATTTACTTAGAAAATAAAGCCAAATCCAAGAGCAACATGGATCTTGTTTTTGGGTAACAGTGAAGTGCAGATGTAGTCTGTACTGTCATTGTTTTCTAGGTCCCTACTGTTTCCATCTTGAAGGTGAAACGACTATTCAGTGTTCCTCATCAGTACTTATTGTACAAGCCTACTTATCACTGAGAACTGTGCTGTAATTGAAAAAGTGTCAATCAGTGTTTTGTACACAGTCTTTTAATTAAAATCTCAAAACAAACAAACATAGAAACAAACAGACATGTTCCAAAGAATATTCATGAGCACCGCCTTCCATGTGAATTAAAGTAACACCTACATTAAAGTGTGCTACATAATCTAGTCCACATCTCTATTAGCTATTTAGAATCAATAAAAGGGAAACATGAACAGTGGGTGAAATACATGGAATCACCTTGTCTGACCAAATTCTCACCTATATAAACTAGGGTGAAAGGTGGCATTATTTGAGATCTGCAAATTGGTCACATGAGAAGAAAAAAATTCAGTTTGTCAGTTAATTCTGTGTTCTGGAAAACTGCATACTATCTGTTACTTAAAATACTTTGCTAATTGACATCAAAACCAACATGGGCTTTACCTCTGTTGAAAATGAGACACCTCTCTTATCTTTAAGCAACAAAAGACCCGATTCAAACTGATTCATACTGACAATTTATGGAAGGAAACATAAATGTTTAATCTGTTAGGTGCATTTGAAATACATGATTATCACAATTATTATCCAAATTTAATACCATTTGAGGCACTATACTACAAGCTGGAAGGTCATGGGTTCAAGTTCCGATGAGGTCTGTGGATTTTTTCACTTCACCTAATCCTTTCAGCTGTATTATGGCCCTGAGATTGACTCAGCCTCTAACAGAAATGAGTACCAGGAATTTTCCTGGGGCGTAAAGTGCGGCGGGCATGTAAGGCTGACAACCTCACTGCCATCTGTGAACCGACTGTCTAGATGTGGGACCCTCAAGGTCTCACAACCCTATGGGCCTCCACGGCTTGTTACAGGGATAGCTTTACCTTTTTTACCTTTCACCATTTAATACCATCTGGTATCTTCCCAGAGTCAGATTGCTGATATTATGCATTTACTTATTTTTCTTTCAAAATATGTTAACCAGAGCTCTATTTACAATTTTTTATAAGTACACATTGAAACCTGCCTTTCAGGTTTCTTTGGAGATCACTGAATTTGAGCACTAAACTGAGCAAAATCTTAAATAGAGGTACTTTAGCACTGAATTGATTGATTTGGGATTATTGAGACTAAACATCTGTATGGGGAAACCTTAAATCAAGGAACATTAAATGGAGGCTTCACTGTATTTTGTATCCAGTATCATGTACTGAACTTAAGGACAAAGAAATGGCAAACAATTCTTTGACTACGAACATTCATACTTGTTTATGAATTAGTTTCATTCATGTTGAGTGAATTTTGGTTTCTTCAGTCTGTGGATATCAAGCTTTTCTTATTTCAGAGCAGAGACTGCAACTGTGCGGCTAGATTCTTACTTAATTGAAATAATTCTTTTAACCAAGATTTCAATATAATATTTTAGCCAAACTTCTGTTATTACCTGTATGTCTGTGAAGAATGTCCCCTCCTGGGTTGTGCCACTGTGTAGATATTGTGTAAATCGAAGTTTCGGAGGAATGTATCACCTGCCCACCTGCTCACGCTGGTTCCTCACTTGTGGATTTTTATACCCTGAAGATGTAAGCGATACGTTCCTCCGAAACGTCGGTTTACACAATATCTACACAGCACCACATCCCAGAAGATGGCATTCTTCATAGTCACCACTGTGAAAACCTCAAATCTTACATGTGAGTGTGTGATTTATCCCCTGCCTGCAGGAACTGATCTATGTGACTGCTGCATGGCCCAGAGGATAAAAAGAGGTTGAAGATATTTCCCTGTGAGGCAGGGTAGTCGATAAGAGAAGGGTGCCCTGTCCTATTTTAGTGATCGGTTTCAAGATTTTTTGTCGATATGAGATTAGCACGTAGAAATTTGGTACTTAGGTACACCTACCATCACAGAGTTAAATAATTACATAATTTTAAGTTAATAAATTTCTAGAACTCATTAATTTATCTTAAGTGGATAAGTGTTTTCACCATCCAAATGCAACGTTTTTATTCTTGTCTTCTATTTCTGAATCTTCCTCACGCTCAGAGAAAGTTGCAACACCCTGCCATCATGGAAGCAATGTACCTGACTGCTGACAGTCAAGTGTGAGGCAAGAGAAGATATTTATTTCCCTGTGAGCTAGGGCAGTGGATAAGAGATGGGTGCCTTCTCCTACTTTAGTGATGTGTCAAAATTTGTTGTTGATATGAATTAGAGGAGCAGAAAGAAATCTGATACCTAGGTATAGCTGCCATCACAGAGCTAAAAATTATAAAATTTTCAGCTCACAGGAAAATTTCTGAAACTAATTAGTTTTAAATAACAAGCCACTAAGATTTGTATACATTTGTTAATTTTCAATAGTCACAGAGTTAAAAATTATATAATTTTCAGCTAATGGGGAAATTTCTATAACTCATTCATTTTAAATAATAAACCACTCACATTTGTATTCTGTAGTTAATTTTTGATAGTAGGAAGAAAGATGCTTTATAAGCATCTGTAAGGTTTTTGAACAATGTTTAGGTGTTTGACATCAAATGTGTATTACTCCTTCAACAATTTGACCATGAACTTTGAAAATTTTCAAGTGTACTTCATAAGCTAACTGGAGTTTGTGTTGCACTAAATAAATCAACCTTGTTTATTTGATCACTGTGTATTATTTTATAGTTCTGTGTGAATTATTACAACCAATAAAATACTTTGTGAACTCATGAACTATTGATGAGTGTTACAAGAACAGAAATTAAGGAGATCGTGATAAGGTCACGCCATAGATCAAGTGGTTAGTCACTGGCTTCCCACTGCAGCAGCCCAGGTTCAATCCTGCGTCTGGTCAAGTGTGATTTGTGGTGGACAAAGTGGCAGTAGGGCAGGTTTTCTCCGAGTACTTCGGTTCCCCTGTCAATCTTCATTCCACCAAATTCTCCATCATCATAATCACCCGGGGCAGATACAATAGGCCAATCAGTGGCCACCATGCCAAGCAGACCCAGATGGACTCCACCCCCCACTAAGCGAATTTAAAAAAAAAAAGGAGATCGTGATGGTGATGCTGCTGTTACTGTTAACATGCTATGAAATTAAACACTGCTGCTTATTACATAACAATAGCAGTGACCCAAGCTATAATGACATTATTCAATTACAATAAGACAAAACTCATGAAACTGCTTGGTCTTTGGCATTAATTTGCTATAAACATAATGTATTTTACAGCACACAAATTAAAGACACTAATTCTTCTTCTTCTTCTTTAATTCCTGTGTGATGCACTGGCTCTCCTGATATTGCCGAATTAACGCCTCCTGTACATCTGGCAAAACAGGTGAATATCTGCTGTATTCCATACTGAATTCGCCTTTCCCTTGGGAGCCGGATCTCAATTCAGAGGCATAACCAAACATGTCATTCAGTGGTACCTGAAATACACAGGAATGTTGAAGGACCACAATTATTTCATGCCTGAAAATTGTGTAAAAGTTAAATCTAGTAAAAGTTCATTATAGTTTGGTCTGTTACAATGTAGATCTGGATATAGCATAGGTATTAACATGTTCCCTGCGGGGGGACAAATCATACAGCCTGAATTCATTCTATTTTGAAGCACCCTCTGTAATGCATATTGCACATCTATTAATATAAATGTGCACACATTTTCTCCTCACTGATCTTACATAATAATTTGCTCCCTGTTCAACTGTGGTACCTATGCAGAGAACATTGATTCTACTATACACAAAACAGGGAGAAAATAGAGCACTCTTTCAATGGATTCCACTGCAGACATGGATTCTGCCCATTCTCTTATAATTTACTGAGGTGTATGGGTGTGATGTGCAATTGAATTCTTGCCTTCATGTGATGATACAACCCATTATCACAAATGAGACTTTGCTGACTGATGTACCTGGTGTGGAGGAAATCAAATATTCATAAAGAGGAAATGGAAAAATGAACAAGCAATGCATCAATGGCCAAATGATTCATACAATGACAAAGAGAATATTCCACAAGGAATAATTCATGAATGGATACAGAAAGATGCATCAGGATTACCATTTGGCAATGGAGACAAATAAATAAATATGGCTTGAGACAAATATGATAATGCAGTAAAAGTCTGGCATAACAGCCACAATTTTTAAGCGCAACTGTCTGAACGTGTGATCAACTGTCATCATACACAGTTACAGAAATGAGATTAGAGAGCAGGGCTGCACAATTTTTAAACATTAATAGATTAAACAGTGCCGTCATTACTGTCATCATCAACACCTCCACTTCCAATTCCACGTAAGCCCCCTACTTTCCCTAGTGCATGTCAATCTATTAGCTCTTCTTTCATATTACATATATTTTAAAATATACTGGTCTCATTAGGAGTGTTCTGCTAGGTCTGCCATCATATAATTTGTCTGATGTTTGATTTTCAGTTGCATGTAATTCATAACATATGTTAAGACACAGCACAACAATACATAATATTTTATTTTCCAGATGTATACTTCTTATTTTGTGCACAGAACTCCATTAAGTTCCACAATATCTGCATATCTGTAGTAATATGCTTGGCAGTAAGCAGGTTAAAGAAAAATGAATTAATGAGAATATGCAGTGATGCCTTGTGTGTTCCAGAACTCAGTAACTATCACCTTGGCAGCTGACAGTGTAGTTGGATGTGGGTAGGTGACCTGAGACACTTCTATTGCACTGATGCATGACACATCTTCACACCTCAATTTTAATACAGACCTTGAAAGTCAACAGATATATATGTGTATTGCTATTAACTTGCCTCTGCATGCACTGTGAACCACCCTTCAATGCCATCAGTGCTGGTGATGATACCATGACGCTTGTTCAACTGACCCATCACAGCCCCCTGGAACTCTTCTGGTACTGTTACCTCAACAGCCATGATTGGTTCAATAATTTGCCAGATACCTGATTCAAATACTGGAAGAATATACAGCACTTTTAAATTATGTAGCACAGGATCTATTCATAACACATGTCCATTCAGCATTCATCTGTGCATGGAATGAAGCAATATATCTATGGCTAAAAACATCTTCCATACATAGGGTGTAGCAAACAGCTGATCAATTTTTGATGTACTTGCAATGAAAAGTTGCAAAACTGCACCTATTGGAACAGCACTATATTTTATGTCTACAAATGGTGAAATGTGTTATTAGATGCCCTAAAATGCAACAAACAATTTATAAAACATACCTTCCCTTATGGCACCTTGAGCTGCAAGCATGAAAGATAGTTCATTGGAATCTACAATATGATGAGCACCGTCCTGTAGCCGAAATCTGATGCCTGACAGTTTATGACCACATAACAAGCCTGTAATGAACAGATATGGAGTCTGAATTTGCTAGCAAAATACAAACTGTATGTTTCTTTACAGTCTGTAACCATAGCAACAAATTTTAAGTGTTATAACATGGCAATAAGTTTTTTTCCAGTTTACACTAATTCTATTAACTATTCTATACAGTACGTCACAATAACCACAGTTTCTGCCTGCATGTATTCTATTCTCTGAATGTTGAGAATATTCCTTTGGTTCTTGGTACAAATGACTCACATAAACAATCATTATAAAGGGTAACAACTGACTAAAAGACCCTTATACCAATGGGATGTCATTATTCCTGGCCTAAGGTGTAGGTACTATGCTTGTTACTTTCACTATATAAGGCCTGGGCTTAAAATTTAATGCTTATTAAAGAAAACAAACTACGCATATACTGCCGGTGTACATCAAAATTAATACAACTGATTTAAGCCCTTTCTACCAAATATTTAAGATTTATTTTTGAAATGAGAAATGTTAGTGAAACAGAATGAAAAGTCCTGGTCAGAAATGAAGATCCAAATGGGGACTGAAGGCATACCACATGCTGGATAATCAGGCTTCAAGGAAACCTCAAGAGTGGAGATATATGAATATAAAACATCACCGGAATGGGGGAAGAGAAGACAGAAGAACTTGTGCCAGTGCCACTTTGAACAAAAAATTGACACACTAATTACCTTGGGATTAAACCTGGGCCTTCAGAAAGAGAGGTTGGCCATCCAAGAGTAGTGTGCGCACAACATACAAACAAAAAGAAAAAGAAGAAACCCCAGAACATCTGCATACAAACCTTTCTGTGCCATTATTCGGAATCCCCTCTCTACTCCTGGTATGAATTGCTTTGGCACATTTGTTCCTACAGTTTCATCAACAAATTCTAGTAATGTATTTTGATGTGGTGGTAAAGGCTGAAACAAATTTAAAAATTACATTATGAATAATGTAAGAATAATTGTGACCACATTGCATATAGGTGAATAGGTTCCAAAAGAGAAATCTACTAGTGACCAGAGGACTCCATTATCACCAAGTGTTCATACAAACCTGCACCAATTTCCATATCTTCCCTAACAAACCAATATAGTGTAATTACATGTAGTGAGATCACATGCTTAGCAAATATTTCTTTATGACAAAGCCCAATAAAAACCTAGTTACAGAATTTTTATTTACTGTAATAAATGTTCTACCTTCCAGAACCAGTACATAAACTTAGCGAGATTGTGGTCAAAATGACAACTGATATACACGTTTCTTCTCTGCCACAAATCGTTACCACATAATCTCTGGCAAATTGTCTCATTATGAACACTCACCTAACCCACACTGCTTGTCACATCATAATTATTCATTCCTTTGTTTCTAATCTGAGCTCTTCCTTCAGTGTATATTTCATGTCACTGTTTGAAAAATTCATTTACATTACTGATGAGGTAATTGTATTTATTCATATATATACTGCTTCTTTAATTATTTATATATGGAAACAAATTATTTTATCATAATTCTATACAGTAAATCTTATAAGAAGATTAACAATTTCTTGTAATTTTGCATAAACCCCATTTAATAAAAAATTCAACACACTGCAAGAAAAGCCCTATGGCCCTGGGGTCAACTCAGCCTCTCACAGAAATGAGTACCAGGAATATTCCTGGGGGTAAAGGGCAACTGGTGCGTAAGGCTGACAACCTTACCACCATCTCTGAGCCGACTGTCTAGAAAATGTGGGAGCCTCAACATCTCCCAACTCTATGGACCTCCACGGCCTGTTACAGGGATACCTTTACTTACTTACAAGAAAACCCATTATCTCAGTAATTCATTTTGTACAGATTTCACTGTGGTGCAAATGAAGGTGAACTGAAAGCTGCTTTCTTTTCAAAGGCAGGATTAGAATTGCCCTGAAATTTGAACACTTCATTATTATTGTTCACAGTATGAAAACTCACATAAGTTACGACCACAGATGTTTAAGAAAGTAAATATGCAGAGACTACTGATGACAATATCTTTCACTATATGACTAATCAGCTCTTTATCTGAGGGTATTAACTGGACATACAACTGAGAGTCATCTGTTCAGGAATTTATTGGCTGTTGTCGAACTTAAATATTGAACACCATCACTACAAGTCCATCAGTCGCTGTTTACCTCATTCAGGTCAACTAAAATCCTTGAAATGTAATGAATAATTTGAAGATTACTGTTCCACATACATCTGCAGTATCTACCTTTCCAAAGAAAGAACTGCTCTACACAGAGCCAGACAGCAAATTGTCAGTTACTTCATGTACAATCATGTAAAATAACCCTCAGCATCTTTATCACTGTAGTAATTGAATGAATGCCCCTGATGATGACACTTTGATGTCAAAACATGTTGCATTACCAATTAAGTTATAGTAAATTAATGACACCCTATGTTATATAATTTGATGGTACTCTGACAGGTTTTTAAATTTACTTCAGCCTTTCTAAGCCCAAATATTTTTTTTGGGGGGGGGGGAACTTCCAAACACTTGTAATTCATGTTCTTTGCTCACAATAACAAATTGCACTTCATACTCAAAGAACATGACTGGAAAATCTACTACACTGTATAATGAATTCTGAAAACTGATCTGAAAGTGCAACTGTGGATTTTTCAAAACTTGTGCATTCTTAGTCAATTCAGGAATCTGAAGTTCTATAGTTAAAATACTGTAACGTGTTTTGTTACTTAAGACGCCGTTCAGACTGTTAATTGATTTATTTAACAATCTACAAATAACGGCTACAATTAATTATAACACAGTTGCGGGGTTTCACACTTTATAACCCTATGCACAAATCAGTTCACTCTGTCTTCAGTAGTCTACACGTTTACAGTACGGGGGAGCTATACAAGTCTCCCTGAATTACACACTCCAAATATAACTGGTTATCACGAACTATCACTGATTCTCGCACACATGTCTGTAGCTCGTAACTTGCGAACTGAGAACTCGTTGATAACACATTCGCTCGACTACTACTGAACTCGGCGATGTCCACATTTCAACTAACTCGTAGCTGCTGTGCAGTTCCCTTATATAGCCGCAGTGCTTGCCTGTTGCATGCCACGTCACAGTAGGAATCGGTGCCACGTCATCCTGTTGTGTCACCGCGCGTTACGTTACCGTGCGGAGGGGGGGAGGGGAGCGCTGACTCACCCGCCGCGTCACTGCTTGTGGGGGGGGGGTTCTCCGTTGCACAACATGTCACAATACTTTTACTTATCAAGACATCCATTTGAATGAATTAATTACTGCCCAGGAGGATACTAAAATGAAGAATTATGGTACTGGTCAATTACCTCCATAACCCCTGTGACTCGAGCAAACTGTCCTGCCCCTCCAGACTGCTTTTTATGGAGATAATCAAATTCACAGGGAGCCAAAAGAGTTTCACGGAATGATACTTTTGGTTTCCCAAGGTGAACAGGACAACCATACTCCCTCTCCATGCGCTGAAATAAATTAGGAACATAGTAGAAAACTAAAAACTGGAAATAACTGTTCACTTAAACTCAGAATCTTTTTTCTTTTCATCTCATACATATGTTAGGCTCTTAAACTTCCAATTACTTGAAGTGAAACCATCTCAAGCTACCACTGAATAGAAGTAGGAAGCTGGTACATAAAACAGACATTCAGTTTCAATTAATATGAGTTTATGGCATATCAGTTGTTAGCATACAAGATTAGTAAGCAAAGTGTTATGTGTTTTATCCTGATTGCTGCCACTAAACACAGTGTGTGTCAGTGAAATGTAATTGTTTTCAAAGCCCTGCTGTAATTTACTGAATGAAATGGAGGAAGGCATTACTGTTAACTGCATTCTGATCTATGTAGTTGCTTCCAACAGTAGAGAGAATTGGGTGGTCGTGCCACAACACATGTTCATGGTTACATTTCAACATTTACTGAATGTAAGTATGTACTACATGTCCAAAGGAGATTTAGGCACAAGTTTCACATGTCATGGGCAGCATTTCTTTTTATTCAGACCATTTCCTACTGCACAGCACTTTATATACCACTGCTGCACCCTGTACACTCACATATGCAACAATATTATTCTACCTACGTTGTTCTGCTGGTCCTGTTATCCATCTTTAATTCAGAGGATTTATCACTCTGCATTCTGCCAATATAGAAAATTGAACTGTTTCTGTAATCTAATCATCCAAATTGTATGGGTTTATTTTGCAGTCTTTCCACATATATTTTGTGACCCATGTAATGCAGCCGCATTGTTTCTGAATTCTGAATGTTTTCAAATTATAAGAAGATATACGAGACAGATTGAGATTAGCTCTTCTAAGGGATTCAACTGAGTAGGTGTCTTCTCCCTCCCCCTTTTTGCCTGAAGACAGAAACAGATCCAGTTTCCGAAACATAGCGTTTTCTATTCTCTAGAATACTGGAAGATGGAAAAAGTCGAAAAACCCAGTAATTCTGTGTGTTATACACCATCATCGAACCCTTTAGAATCTACATGCGACACTATTGTTAACATTGTGACTGTAATCTATATAGGCTATATTGTATTAAAATACTGACACAATTTTCCAATATAGAACTGATATGCTGTAACAGATGACCGCACTATTTTATATTTACTTCTTAAGCAGGATACTTAATTAAGTCATGAAAAAGGCTAATTTAATTTGAATTGAACTTGGTCCAGGGTTTCTGTATATAAACTGAAATGCTGTCTATGAATCTCCACCTTCACCACAGTCCAGTTCACATCTTCACTCTGCGTACAGCCAAGAACTGGGTCACAGGTGAAATTACAAATGAGGACTGAGGTCATAATAATGTGCTGGCTGTTCAGATCTATCACACAGAGCAGAGGCACTGGCAGAGAAAACCTGCCCCAGTGACGCCATGTCACAAGCCTTATGTTTATGGTATTGAAAGTGAGTCTGTGTGGTAGAAATGTCAGAAACTAGTGGTTGAGATATGCACAGCCCTGTAACCTCAACAGTGATGTTGTAATACATTGTAATGTACATAAAGAATGTCATAAGGTAAAATCTCACCTGGGCATATATTTCCAAATGAAGCTCTCCCATTCCTGACACAATGGTTTCCTTATTATCAACATCATAAGTGAACTGAAATGTGGGATCCTCTTTTGTGAATCGAGCTACAGCCTTACTGAAGTTATCACGATCCTTTGAATTAACAGGCATAATTGACATTGACACAACAGGATCAGGAATATGGATTGATTCCTGTAAAAGAAAAGATGGTTGCATTAAAAACTAATACAGTACTTAATTGCAAAATTTATCCACCACTTTACCAAAACAATTTTGTCTGAAAGTTGTGGTGAATAAAAAATGTGAAATACTACTTTACAGAGTACAATTTTGCACACAGAAAAATTACAGTAGCACCTCGATTCCAGAAACAATTTTTGTTATATATGTCATGCACAAATGTGCATGCTTATGGTCACAGGCCAAATGATGAATCACCCATCTGCCTATTACTGTAGCATTCCCAAATTAGGCATCTCTCAATGTTCAGTGCAATATATCTTATAGGATGTCTTGACATGCCAATTTAACCATGGTAATGCAATTAGGATATATAATGTTACTTGATACTTGTCATGTCTCAAGCAATCAGTGTTATCAATGCAATCTGTTACCACACCCTGCAGTTAACAATCATGCACTGAGATGATAAGCACTGCTCTTAAGGCCTTACAGTGAACTCACAGGACGTTTCAGCCATGACACCATTGTTGCCATGATCCCACTGTTGTCTGCAGTTTCTTTATGGAGGGAGAAATGTGTTGGCAGAACTCAAATCCATGCATGTCACACAAAAATTAACAATTTTTCATTGTCTATCCCTCTAAAAGGAGCATGTTCTGTTGTTGGTAATTTTTTACTGTTTTGAAGAAACAGAGTGCGACAGACCGCCAGTCAGAGAGACACACTGGGCGATTACATACATAGACGGCCTTCTTGAATGTGACATCAAACTACACCACACAGCATTACATCCCAGAAGACCACAATCTTAAGAGAGAAATAACAACATTATATAAAGATCCATTCCATAATTACCATTGACAAGTTCAACTTATTGTCAGTTACAAAAGTGTCACCACTTGCACAGTCAACACCAAAGAGTGCAAATATATCTCCTGCATATACCTCATTCACATCCTCCATTTCAGTGGAATGTAAACGTACTAAACGAGGAATGCGAACCTGCAAGAATACATGAATCAGTCAGTAAAATAAAACACGAGTTCAAGTGAAAGTAAGCTGAGGTTACTTCAGTCAACAACATTATAAAACATACAAATTAAAACCTTTTTCTTAGTTCTGACGTTGTACAAATATTCTCCTTTCCCCAGCACTCCTTGATAACATCTAAGGTAAGTAAGCTGACCAAATTTTCCTCCTTCAAGCTTGAATGCAAGGCCGACAAAAGGATGGGTATTACTCCGTTCAGGTCTCAAGATTATTTTCTCTGTTTCTTGCCTGAAATAAAGTCAATAAATGCAATTTATGTACATACAGGTACGTGATGTTACGTCAGACTCACAAGAAGAGTTTTAACAAGAGTTGACAGTAACACCTGGTACAGTACTAATATAACTGGCTTTGCTTTTACTAGTACTAACATGACAGCTATTCAGAAAGTAACCTCTGGCAAGCTTTTAACAAAAAAACAATAAGAAAAAATGTATTATATACAAAAAATATGTACATACTTAAGCTACTTCTTCACATAGCCATTGCTAGAACTGAGGCACCTGTCTTATCAGGGAATAAGATTTTGTTTGCCTGTGTCAAAAAAGTATGCCACCTGTGAGCTCAGCCACATTTTGACACCTTCAATCAGCTCCACATTACTGTTAACGTGCAATTATCTCAACCAGTACTTCAGGTAGATACGTGGGAACAGGTGGTAGTTGCTCAGAGCAGATCGGGGCTGTAAGGAGAGTCGTCAAATGACGCCCAGTTGAAATGTTCCAGCAGTGCTCAGGTGCAAGCAGCTGTACTCATATGCAGATGAGCCTCGTCATGGAGAAGCATTAACATAGATGTCAGCATTCCACGCTTTCTGTTCTGAATGTCCCTACACACTTCTTTTAGTGTTTCGCACACAAAATTCTGATATTGTGGTCCTTGTTGTATGAATTCCAGCATCAGAACTTTCTTTCTGTCCCAGAAAACAGTTACCATCAGCTTTCTGGTAGACGTTTGTTTACAATTTTTGGCTTGTTTGGTGAACATGTGTGCATCCAATGCTTTGTCTGCTCTTTAGTTTCAACACTAACAAATGAAACCCATGATTCATCACCTGTTACTCGTACGACGTGACTAAGAACTTCAACACCATATTTGTAGCATCACTAAAAAAATCAAAGCCAAGGCCATTCTCTGCATTTTATGAGCACCCACAAGCATTTTGAAACCCACCTCACCCAAAATGTGTGATAGCCTAGCCTAACTGTGATAATCTCACAAAAAACACTGCATGAAATTAATGGAAATTCATACAGAAGTTCTGAAATTGTTCCACAAATTTTTTGATCAACACTTTGAACAAGAATATCAGTCACTACAGATGGCCGAACATTTCACTCTTCATCGTGAACATTTGTTTGCCCATCTTTGAACATTCTACACTACTGTCTTACAGTTCCTTCACTCTCATTACATTTTGGCCTTAAAACACCACGCATAATTCACAATGGATTCCTGCAGCACTTATGTTTTTAGAGTGAAGAAAGCAGATAATAGTAAAAATTTCACAGCTTACAGGATTGTCAATCAATATTGAATTTAAATTCATCTCACTTTAAAATTCTTGATGCTGCCAATCACTAATAAGGAAGGTATAAACAAAATAAATCAGAAAAGGGCCAAGAACTAACCCTTCTTTCTCCTGCAGTGCAACATTCTCCACTTCTCCTGGATTAGGCAAATAACTGAGAACTGCATCTAGTAGGGGCTGAACTCCTTTGTTCTTCAGTGCACTACCCATTACTACTGGAGTGAAAACTCGGTGGAGGCAGGCACGGCGAATAGCAGCCATAATATCTCTTTCAGTTGGAGACTTCTCTTCTGCATAAATTGAATGGTTCATTAGATTTCCAACATATATAAGTCACAAATATACAAATTTGCAATGAATATACAGTAAAATAACTGTATATTTGTACAGAATTCTTTTATGATCCAAACATATAAATCTTATATGTAGAAAAATTTTGCATGGAGCAGAAACTATAGGACTTCAGCACTTAAGGCCAAGTAAGTGAATACGTATAGAAAAGACTGTATCGCAAGTTGACCCACTTCAGTAAGAATACTAGTATCTGTATCAGGATGGATATTTCAGTATTGCATTCACTTCCAATCACCTCCTACCCTCACAACCTACGTCACCACATTCCATCTTAATGTTACATCCTACCCACTTCTTGATGTTCCTGTCACGAACTTTCTAAGAGGTCTCCACACTAAAAATTCTGCATGTCAGAATAGCCAGTTTCTGGACTAAGATCTGAACATGTGATCTCCTGAATATGAAGCAAAAATACTACCCACTCAACTGTAATATTCAGTGCCTACAGTGTCACTACCACTCCAATCTGCTTACTCATAATGATACAGTCTGCATGACATGTCTCATACTTTCACTCATTTTCATTATAACAATATTTCATTTTTTTTAGACAAATTTGCAAAATGTGCAGGATTAAATTTCACTGACTATTATATACATATATCTGTACGGCCTGACTGCAGTATAAGCTGTAGTTCAACACAGAAAACAATTCATAAGAGACAGTACTTGGCACTTACCCAGAAACATTTCCCCTAATATTTCATCCACATTCGACACATGTTCTATCAGCTCCTGCCTTTTGTCTTCAGATTCACACCTCATTTCACATGGAATTTCATCTTCACGTACAACCTCTCTGCATAACCAACACAAAACAATATTTTATAACTTAGGAAATTACTCTAGTTCTGAGATCTAGAAGCATCTGTACAAAATTAATACACAAACTGCAACATTTCATTACATTTTAATTCTCTTAATACTGTTATCTTGGTAAGAGAGTTGAACCAGGTACCTTCCAGATTTGAGATGAACATTTTGATGATAAGTCATGTCATCAGCATGAGAAGTATAAGTAACCAGTGTACTAATATTGAACTAAAATAAACTCAATAAACATTTAACAAAACAGTAATTACAAAACAAATTGTGGCACCACATTATGCATACCAATCACTGGTGACAAGGGACTGGCATGAACAATATGATATTTTAGCTTCATCAGTAAGGTCAAGAGTTGTTGAGAAATGATTGGTATTAACCATACCTTATAAAACTTTATCAGGTGATTATTGAATCATGCTTGGCTGTTGGACAACAAACTTGCTTGTCATCCTCAGCTAATATTTGGCTATTTTCAGCTTAAATGCCATTCAAATCTTTGCAAGGCTTAACTTTTCATCACCAAGTGTTGGCTGCAACATTGCTTACTTTCAAAGCTGTTTTTTGGGGTTTTAAAAAAACTGAACACACAAATTTTAACAATCAACAATCAAGGAACTTGATTGTTGATTGTTAATTGGTTAATGTGTCACATTTGACGGAAGGAACTTGATTGTTAATTGGTTAATGTGACGGACCAGAATGAAAGACCTTAAACACAAATTTTGTTCCTCTCATTAGCTACTGGGAGCTGTACATGAGGTTCAACATACACTTGAACATACATGTATATGAGATAATGAAGTTCAGGTATAACAATTGGATTGCATATATGAAACTGCCAACATACAATACAATGGCCACCTCATCCACACCTCTCAGCTCTTCACAGTGCCTCAATAAATATATGAGCCTCAAACATTTTTATACATCCTTGTACTTTCCTTTTTGTTCTCCTTTGAATTTTATGAAATGTAATTCTGTTTAGGCATACAAAATTTGCAATATTTATAACATAAATATATATCTTAAAATACATTATTAATTTCTACTAACCCAAATTGCCCATCGAAATACAAAGCTTTCTGCTTTATCAGATCAACTACACCTTGTGTTTCACCTTCTAGACCAATAGGCAGTTGTAAAAATGCAGCATTATGACCAAGTTTGGACCTCATTTGAGACAGCACTCTACTGGGGTTGGCTCCCAGTCGATCAAGTTTGTTAATGAATGCCAGGCATGGAACATTATATCGCTTCATTTGTCTGTTAACTGTCATAGTCTGACTCTGTACTCCACCCACAGCACAAAGAACTAGAATGGCTCCATCCAACACTCTCAACGATCGTTCTACTTCCACTGTGAAATCAACATGACCTAGAACACATGATAAAACATTACTGATAGTATTCATCACCAAAACAAAATAGTAATCATAAAAATTATACCTTGTGGCAAAATTTGAGAACAAAATTAACTCTCAAGTATTAAGAGTGAGGAGATGGAGACAAATCTGTTAAAAGTATACTGATCCTAAATGTTCTTTGCTGTAGAACAGTGATACACAAATTGTGTTCTGTTCTAAAGTTTTCATTATGATAAAGTAAGTATAGGTAAAGTTGTCCCTGCTGGTCACGGTAGCTGAGTGGTCTAAGGCGTGCACTGTCTTCGCTCGCTCGGAAGCCAGGATCGTGGGTTCAAATCCCACTCAGGGCATGGATTGTGTGTGTTTTTCTGTGTTTGTCTACAGGTAGAGGCCTTGCAACGAGCTGATCACTCACCCAAGGAGTCCTACCATATGTGTAAGATCTAGAAAAACCGAAGTGAAATGAGTTCATGGAGGAAGGCCTAGGCCCACTGGGGCTGTAGTGCCAAGGAAAAAAAAAAAACTGTCCCTACACTTCATTAATTAATCACCATGCCATTAAGATGTATGTGGAGTGGAGGTGCAGCTCCACCACTCTTGACCTTGGCACTAGATGGATGTGAGTCCATGATATGTATACACTTGCTGTCTTGTAGTGCGCTCAATTTCACCTGTTACTTCACAACATGTTTCGGCAACACAGTGCCATCATCAGGTGCCCGAATTACACTAATCTATTTCATTGCTTGCCTTTATAAAATTATTTAAAAAGTGCGTATTTGTCAACTATAATAAATTTACACACACTAAAACTTGTTAAGATTATTCATCTTATGTGTCATAATTAAAACTTGTGTGTGGTTCTTCCACTGTGGGGGTCGTTTTTCTTATATTCTGTGTAAACCGTGTCTTGTGATGTGTGTTCCCTTCTTAGCTGAGAGTGTTGTTACAACACTCGCAACTAAGAAGGAAACACACAACACGCAAGTTTTAATTATGACACGTAAGATGAATAATCTTAACAAGTTTTAGTGTGTGTAAATTTATTATAGTTGACAAATACGCACTTTTTAAATACTTTTTAAATAATTTTATAAAGGCAAGTAATGAAATAGATTAGCACAATTAGGGCACCTGATGATGGCACTATGTTGCCGAAACATGTCGTGAGGTAACAGGTGAAATTGAGTGCACTACAAGACGGCAAGTGTATACATATCATGGATGAAAATCAGTGCAACAGGACGCTAAAATACAACATTATGGATGTGAGTGGTCGGTATCATGCCCAGGCCACTATAGACCCCTGAGGAAGGAGCCCGCAGTACCCAACGGATAGGAAGCTCACTGGACCACAGAGGCAGTTTGGACACAGTGTAAAATAAAAAAAAAAATACTTGCCCTTGGCAGGAATCAAACCTTGGCCATCCAGCCCGTGCGCATTGCTATACTCACTCACTTTCCCAGCTCCTAAGAACGTTTTTATTAAAATTACAAATTCTGAATTCTGTTTCAATAATCAAGTCACCAATTAGCACCTATAAATACCACGAAATATAGTAAAATCATTCATCAAATGCAGTATTATGAAGAGTAATGTGCTAAAATATTTTAGTTCAGGATAAGGACCAATGGCGCACTCTTGTATACACAGTTGTACAAAAAATGCGAAACTTCCTTCCAGCTGTTTTGTTAATTCCTCAGAACTTGGACCTTATGCAATCTAAGGTTCATATTTGAGGTTACCTAACTCCAAAACTGGTGTATGGAGGAGTGTTGATACAGGTGGTAGAGTAACTACGTAAATTTTCTTCTCAGACACAACTAATTCTGAATAGTACATGAAACACACATTTTGGTCATTTATGTGTGGCTGACAGATGAAGAATAGCACACAGACCAGCTCCTGGGCCCACTCTCTCTGCTATCCAATAAATACTGAAGTCTCCTTCCAAATGGGTAGAGTGGCCAGGACATAAAGCTGACTACTCTCCTCCATAGAGTGCTGAGGTCAAGAATGGTGGAACTATACCTCCATATCTTCAAGGCATGATTATTAATTAATTAAGCACAGCGATTACTTTACATTTAACACTTTGTGGACCGGTCACATAATATTATGCTTTTCGCTTTTAAACGTGGCAGACTGGTGGGATAATATTATGATTTTAAAACACGTTATGTTGCAACACACTATACCTTGCTCTGGCACCACGCAGATGCATAACTGGTGTGTAACAGACCTCCCGAATGTTTGCTTAGTAGTCAGTAACATGACCTCGCCATTTTCCTATCCCACTCCAAAGGAAAATGCCTTTGTTTGTCTTCAAGCTGTATGCACCAGGCAGTAAGTTAGTAGTTCAATATGGATCAAGGACAAAAGCAGTTGAAGACCAAGCAATCTCTCGGAGAACAAGAAATATCTGACTTGTTCTCCGATGAGCTATCTGACATGCCTTGTGAGATGTGTAGTGATAGTGACTCAGACAGTGGCAGTGACAGGGGACAACAGAGAATTGTGGCCACAGACAGTAAAAGTGACGGTAACTCCAACGAAAATGCGGGTAGTAACATTGCGGGGACAGCCACATGGGGAAAAGTAGACAAAACGCCTACTTTGGGACAGTTTATTGGAAATTCAGGGGTGAAACAAATTCCATCGGACACCATGGGCTACAGACCAGATGGTGGCGGCAGAACCAGAGTCAGATGCAGACTTAGTGTGACTGGGCCCATCAACTCCCACCCCATGCAGGCCTTATGTGGACCCCCCCCGGGCGACTCTCGGGTGATATGCGGAAACATACCCTCGTGAAAATTGTGAAGAGTGAACATTCCAAGGGGAAGCATCCTTCTAGGCAATGCCGTGTTTGCACAGTTCACAAAAAAAGAAGTATGACTGTCTACATTTGCAAGTTCTGTGTAATGCCACTCCACAAAGGGGAATGTCTCCAGAAATATCACACTCTCAAGCACTTCTAGGAGTATTGGTAAGTGTTCTCCAAAAATTTTAGTTCATAAAATTAATTAGGAGATTTTATATTAATTTTTAAAGTAAACAGTGCACAAGATAGGGTAGTAGGTTTAAAAATGCCGGTCCCCATGGTGAGTTAAATATTTAAATTGCCGGTCCGCAAAGTGTTAACATAAAAATAATGGCAGTATACATTCTCCACACAATACCCTGCTACTGCTCATACAGTATAGATATCCACGTACACTTGGCATGAATTGTCTGCAGACAAAATGTTCAGTAGTAATCTATGGCCAATGCACTTCTTGACCTCAACCCATATAATTTCTATTTATGGAAAACTTTAGAACAAAAGACATATGGATTAAGCTCTCACACAACTGAAGAAGAGATGGAGGACAGTGTTAAGGATGGGAGGATTACATAAGTGCAGTAAAGAGAAATGAAGGGAAAATGAGAACATGACATTACACATTCATTACTGTTAGTGTATTATATAGTATGTTTCATTTTTCTACTAATGTTTGTGTGCTCTTTTGTTTGAATGTGTTTGTGCGTGTTATTTGTCTGTTGTCTTATTGTAGTACCACTGCAACCAGGCAAAAACCAATTTGCAGTTAAATAATACATAATAACAATTTGTACTGTTTGTATATACAGAAGAATCATGTAGGTTCAAGTTTCTAAAGCCAAATGCCATGTCTAATGGTAGGAATGTAGGAAAAGGAGAACCTTGTTATGCAGTGAATTTCATGCAAATAAGGCAGAAAATTCTCAAACGTCTCAGGTGGAAGAGTTGGATGCTCTTCCATTCAAGTCATATCAGCTCTGCTTCAGACTGCTAGTGCAATCAGTGAATCAAATAAAATTTATCAAGATTACAGCAGATATTTGAAATTGTTCTGCATGCATTCCTTACACTGCCATAAAATGTTTGCATTGACATACTGAAATACTTTTTATTATTATTATGTAGCACTGAGTGTTACTCTTATCTGCATTTTCCAAATAATTAGTTATTCAATAATTACAGTGTCAAGGGATACATGTGGTCACTTCCATAACATCCTAACAATCACGAATCTCAATGCAGGTCATCAGAACTAACAAGATAACCTTCTGCTTTTGACATCATTAAAATGGTGAAATTCACAAAGCAGAAGTAAATAAAGGAATTAAGAAACCAAAAAAGATTTTCATAAATCTGTTTATGCAAATTCAGGCATTTTCCAAAAGTATGTACATCTGTCTTTCTTACAACATGCACAAGTGTGACACCTTTCATTCATCACATGACAAAGGACAGTATTACACCAACCTTAGGAATGTGATTAAATTACTTGTTTCAAAGATGCTGTTCATAAATTGTGACATACCACCAACTTCGATAACTGGCAACAGTCCAGCCCTCATTACCTCATGTTCACAGGATACTTCTTTCTTCAGTTAGATGTCTTAAATTCTTGCCCACATTTCACTTATCTTATACACTAACATCATTTATAACTCTGTGACCTATATTATGTTTACTAACCAGGTGTGTCTATTATATTGATATTGTGATCTTTCCAAAGTGTGTATGTAGCTGCAGACTGAATTGTTATGCCTCGTTGTTTTTCAAGTTCCATTGAATCCATTGTAGCTCCAATATTATCTTTCCCTTTCACCTGTGGAATTTATGAATCTTATTAATTACACTGATATTATTATGAAAACTAAAAATTATAAACTATATGAAACTACTAGCTTGATAACATACCTCATGCATTTCAGAAATTCTCCCAGTATAAAATAAAATTCGTTCTGTAAGTGTTGTTTTTCCAGAATCAATATGCGCTGAGATTCCTATGTTGCGAATATACTCTAAGGCTTTGTGCTCTGCATATTTAGCATATGACGCCATATACGCTACATTTTCCTGTGAATATAAACCACAAGCATAAGAATAAGAACATAACGTTACCTTTAAATATGCAGAACAAAACTATTATAAAATATGCAACGTGAATAAACATATAACAAAGAAGAAAGCAGTCTTCTGGGATTTGGCACCGTGTATCTGTGGTGTTAACCGACGTTTCGGAGGAACGTATCGCCTCCATCTTCAGGGTAGAAGAAAAAATATAGAAGAAATCTGCAAGCAAAGAGACCGTGAGAACCGGTAAAAGCTTTACGTTCCTCCGAAACGTCGGTTAACACCACAGATACACGGTGCCAAATCCCAGAAGACTGCTTTCTTCATAGTCACCGCCGTGAAAACCTCAAATCTTACAACCTGTAACAACTTAATTTTTTATTTTACACAACTGGAAGAAGTCATCAATATCTATAAGCCCAATTTAATGACATCCTTAAACTCCTAATATCATATATGTTAGACAAGTCTCGACGGACCTGTACATAAACTGAAAATAAACAGCGTGAGAATTTATGTACAATCTCACAATTATAACATCCCCAAACTAACGCTACAAAATATTTATATTGTGATCTTCTGGGTTACAACACCGTACACATTGTTGGTAACAGCCTAAAAGGTTATATTTTATCGTAACTCAGTGATCTTCTGGGTTACAACACCGTACACATTGTTGGTAACAGCCTAAAAGGTTATATTTTATCGTAACTCAGTGATCTTCTGGGTTACAACACCGTACACATTGTTGGTAACAGCCTAACAGGTTATATTTTATCGTAACTCAAAAAACCACAAAATTCATCAGCTCCGCATGAACTCCAATCTTGTATAAAAATATATGAGATTCAACAATTAACTTGAGATTTTATAATGTAACTGTTGCTTTTCTACGATAGGTCTCACAGATTCGGAAGGCCATATGTAACTATATATAAAGCAATATTAGGGACAATCTAACCTCACTTTAAACCATACATACACTCGTACTCAACAATACCTCTAGTATGTTGGACTGTATAGTTCTTCTTTTTAAAACTCCCGAACTCCTCGAAAATAAGTTAAAAATTGCCATTTTCCGTATTTCTAAGTCATGTGCAATTTCCGGAACCGTCGACTACCCACAACTTAAGCGCATCCAACGAACATAACCTAACACGATACGCACGGTACTAACTACAGAAATACAGACACTGACGTGCCAACATTAACCTAACCCCTTCTCAAAAGTACGTACGTTGGTACGTCTGTACAAAACTGCGATGTAGATGTTCGAGACGTTCGAGACCGTTCGAGACATTCGAAACGTCAGAATGGTCAGAATCGTCAGAATGTCATTTATTCCCGTTTGCTGAATTCCACCTCGTAATTACATTCCAACAAAATTAATCCAAAACATTAGGACTTTTTAAAAAATAGTGGAGCTACACTACACTGTGGAATGTTTAACAATACTAATAATGACAGCTTGCAATGGTATTGCCTTCAGATGTGGAAATAGTATTTGTTCAAAAGATCTCATAATATCTACCGACTTTCGAAGACTCATTTAATATGAATCACGTTATTATTGAAGCTTTAAATTGCAGAAATTGCCTTACAGAATAAAAGGATAAAATTATTCCGACAAAAATGGCAACGCTGTGTCTGTGGTGTCTACTTGTGTGATGTATGATGGAAACTGTCGGTAACATATGTTATGACCTGGTGTATAAATAAAAATCTGTCAGGGGTCAGGTGTGTGGCTAAATGGTACACGGAACTGTATGAAATGCAACGTAGAGCCAAGTAGGGAAGCTACAGGTTTTATTACAAAATGAAATTGCTTTCTTGGGTACGTATGTTTAATTTGTATGACTTATACCTCTAGTACTAAGAGATTTTGGATTCGAGACGTTTTCTTGAAGTGTAGTGAACAATGTAGATATGTTTTGCGAAACTTGAGACATAGATCTTCTTTTATACAAACATGACATTTTTTTAGAAAGAATGTTGCTGATTGTATAACGCCTTAAAATATTACCTAACCAACTGAATGGAATGGAGGTTATAGAAACGTGGTAGTCGCACCTTCAGTCAAATTGCCCGCCTCTTTTGAATCCCAGAAATTCGTTATATTGTTCAAAAGATCCCGCCATTGGTGTGACAGCCAAAAGAACAGTATTTTTGTGACATTTTACTGCTGTATTAATGTTTGCGTCCTCCCAGTGTTTTCTTAAAAAAAAATCGGAATTTGTAGCACTTCCCGTGTGTGCCACAGTCTTCATCTGATCATTCTTATATGTAAATCAAATTATATTCCCTATTCTGTGTATGTGGGAACGAAAAAAAAATAATGTCATTGTTGCCATTATCCTAGCACACGTTCTCACACAGTTGACATGCGCAGAATGCGTCTAGGTGTAAAGTGCCTACTGAGAAACAGAGAGATGCTCAGATGATCAAGAAATCCTACACCACTTTTTTTCTTCAACAGTCATGTCAGGAGTATATAATGTAAAATTATAGAATGACTGATGATTTGGAAAGGATTAGGAAGAAAGTGGTTAAGACCTAATAAAAATACTACTGTATCATATATCAGGAGGGACTGAAGAAGACTGTGGAAATCTGTAAGAATAGCTGGTGTTCTGGCCAAGATTTGAACCAAGCACCTGAATTTAGGTCCAGAGGGTTACTGCTACATGAACCTGCTTGATTGAACCTTTTATGGAAGGCCATGGTTCATTGATATGTTAACATCACTGGGCCCTACCCTGAGTGAGCAAGTTGAGCGAGTATAATTTAGTAAATTTCTAATAACTGGAACACTATATCATAAAAGAGTACAAATAATTCTCATTAACATCTGGCTGCCATGGAGGTCACTGTTGCTCACTGCAGTACATTTACCAAAGTATCACAGAGGACATCAGTGTCCACTCCAAGTTGCTTCACTCCATTGCCTTGTGTCTGCTAGCTGTACATATTTCTCAATATATGCCACATTACAAGAAGTGTACAGGTAACTATACTAATGCAAATTCTAAATGTGTGTCATTATTTTAACCTTTGTTTTGATGAATTGTGTATGTATAATGTTTATGAAATATAACACTTCTAAACACAAAACATATTTATGAACATTCTATATAATTACAACTAACAGTGTTCTGATAAGATTATGTAATGAGGTGCGAATTCAGTTACCTGGGGAAAAATCACTCAAGAGAGCAGAAAACATCAAAGTAACAGTATTCACAAGGTTTGTTGTAGCTTGATATACCTACATTGGCATGGTAGGTGGGATCCATAAAATGTACATAAACTAGGAGGCTTAAATAGCAAAATAAGTTATTGTCTTGAAAAGCTGCACTTAGACCACCAAAGTCACCCATCTCCTTTATAGTAAAAGTGCCCATAGGCATTGATATTTTTGTAAATGACAAATAATACCTCAAGGTTGCATAACTAATGTGACATATTTTAGAATTTATGAATCTAGAAAAAATTCAGAAATTGCATAGCAGCCAATGTTTTCAGTAATGTAACTTCATGATTTGATGAGTTTTTAACAAGGCACATCTCAATGACACATTGTGTCCAAGTCTAAGAATTTTGTAAAATTTTGGGACATACCTAGACAGACTTATGAAAGAATAAAGAAAATTACATAATGAGGAGCTTCACAATTGAACATCTTCTTTAATAATGTTGGTGTGAAGAGACCACTTGGAAGACCTATATTCTGATGGCACCATCATGTTCTCATAAATCATTAGTACACAGTGAATTATAATGTATTATAATGGTTATCAAGAGAAAAGGTTAGTCGCTGGCTTCCCACCGTGGTGGTCCAGGTTCGAACGTGGGTCTGGTCAAGTGGGATTTGTGGTGGACAAAGTGGCGCTGGGGCAGGTACAGTAGGCCAATCTGTGGCCGCTGTGCCGAGTGGACCCAGCTGGACTCCACCCCCCACTAAGTAAATGAAGAGAAATGGTTGGTGAGAATATGACTATGACTAGGATAGCCAAGGGTTCACTGGCAAGTTTTTGCAAACACAATAAAAACCTGATTCTGTAGTTTGATGAAATGTATAACTATAAATTGCTGAAGGATGACCCTGTATCATGCAGTTTGTCAGTGAGTTAGTGAAGTACTAGCCATCATTGGCAAGAGTGATTCTAAGTACCATTTTAGATTTGTACTTGCTGGGAATTTTCAGTGACATTTCTGCTGATAATCCATGAACATGTAGATGGATAGATATGACCGCTTTGTAAGGTAATTATATCTGCAACATAAACAATAACAGCAAACATATTAGATCTGTGTAGAGGCATAAATGAATGTAAGGGTTTCCAACCTACACATGACTTGATAAAAGATGAGAATAGTTATTTATTTGTGGATTCCCACAATATATTGTATAGGTCGAGACATCTCTTCAATCAGCCATTAGAAGATCATGGAATTAGTGATCTGAAGCAGATTTAAATGTAAACTGGACCTCCAATTTAGCACAGATGTAGACAGGTATTGAAATGCAGCTTGTTTCATACTGTGAAATGTACAGAACTCTTTTGTTGTATATAATTTTATGTGTGTTTAACTACAATAAAATTTATTAGCTGTGTCCACAAACACATTCTTTAACAGTAAGGTATTTTATTATGCAGTAAGTCAGTGGATGCTAAAAAAAAGAATGTATTGCAAAGGAAAAGGCAGTATATTTAACCATATCAAGAGTATGTAATAATATAAAGCCATACATATTCTTAATACAAGGATGTTTTCATGATCATTTTGAAGATAGAATGCATATTTTTTTTTCCCAGGGTGCCAATACACACGGTCAACTGGGGCAAGGCCTCAAGTCAGAACAGTGTCTTCTTCCAGGAGAGATAAGGAGAGAAGATTCTCTGGATCTCAGTTGCATTACATGTATCACAGGTGGAGGAGGTCACACATTGATTGTTAATAAACATGGGCAAGTGTTTGCTTGTGGATCAAATACCAAGGGACAATTAGGGCTTGGAATGGACACAGAACATCCAGTCTTTGAGAAAATAAAGTCACTTGATACTTACCATGTTACTCAAGTTGCTTGTGGTTGGGATTCCAGCCTAGCAGTTACAAAGGATGGAGAGTTGTTTGTTTGGGGGTCTAATGCATATTGTCAGTTAGGATTACCAAAGAAGAAGGTAATAATAACAATATTTTGTTATAAAATTTTAATGCCACTGAATTTAATATTGAATATTATGGTCTTCAGGGATATGATGTTTTGCAGGTTGTCAGAGAGATACCAAAGTTTCAGAAGAACATGATGCCTCCATCTTTATGACTGAGGGGGGTGATTTCTATCCTGAAGATGGAGGCAGCTGGATCTTCAAAAACATAGATACTAGTCTACAAACTACATGGCATCACATGGCAACACTCGCTTCCATAAGAATTTTAAATCCCATGAATTTAATGCTTCCTTCTTCCACGAATTTCACATAACTGTCATAAATGAAGAAATTAGTTAAACAGTCCTGTCAAAAAGGAGCTACAGGTGGTAATGGTAACCTTAAATGTTAATTTAGGACATGAACATAAAATACCTTTAATCCTTGCTGTGCCATCTGATGCTGTCAACAAGATAATTTAAATGTCTTTCTACACTGTTTTACCAAATTAAACACATCAGAGGAATATTTAATTTTTATATGTTGTACACCGTTAGATACATGAAAGATTAAAGCTATCATAAAAATCTGCTTACTATGAAACCGTTTCATATAAAGATGTTCAACTGGGTAGGAATGAAACAAGTTATTTAATATACAGGTATCTCTGATTTTAGCTTGTCTAAAGTGGTCACTTTTCTCTACTAAAGGTGTTTCTTTTCATTGTTTATAACAATCCAGTGCATTTTCAGGTTCCTTTTACCACCACCCCATTAAAACTGGCAATAACAAATGTTAGAGCCGTGGCATCAGGCTTACGACACTCAGCTATACTTACAGGAGATGGCCAAGTCTTGGTATGTGGTAATGGGAAGAGTGGACAATTAGGACTTACAGATAATGGAATACCAATTGTTGAAGTAGAAAATCCTCAAAAAGGTACACAAAACATTAGTTAAAGCATGCTGTGGGATTGCTGTAGAAGAACTGTGAAGGTTCAGCATCATGGTGCACACAAATAAGTCTCTTTTCAGCATCTCAAATCTGTCCACACTGACCAGCTATCTTTCTCATTTTCTTTTTCTGAGGTGGTTTGGAAAAGAAATGGTACATGTATGCCGGTGACCTGCTAATAACTTGATACTAATGAAAGAATCATGCCGGTCTCGGTAGCCGAGCGGTCTAAGGCATGCACTATCTTCGCTCGCTCAAAAGCTGGGACCGTGGGTTCGAATCCCACTCAGGGCATGGATGTTTGTGTGCGTTTTTCTGTGTTTGTCTACATCTAGAGGCCTTGCAACGAGCTGATCACTCGCTCAAGGAGTCCTACCGAATGTGTAAGATCTAGTAAACCGAAGTGAAACGGAGAGTTTCATGGAGGTAGGCCTAGGCCCAAATTGGGGCTGTAGCGCCACAGAAAAAAAAATAAGAATCATACCAATGCTATTATACACTTTTAATTGCTACATTCCATGATTCCCAAGATATTTCAAATTTTTGAGGTTACAACATCCTTATTATTCAGTGTGAAATCCTGAATAGATATCTGAAGTAATTTTCTTAGTTGTCTGTGTTAGTGATGAAAACACTGTAACCATGTGAAATATTTTGAATTGTATAACTGATAAATCCTCATAACTACGCAAACAGAATTTTGTATGAAACTTTTTACTTTTTAGTGTACTGCATTAAAAAGGAGCAGTGCATGGACCTAAGCATTTCATGTCACTTTGCACAAAGTCCCAAACCTAAGCTACAGATTCAACATTTATAGTGTTTGTAGGGCATCCAATATGCCAGTCAGGTTTGATGGACATTCATACCTCCTTAAAATTATGAAACATGTTAAACAAAATATGCTTGGCTTATTATCCGATCTCCAAATGCTGTCTATATCACTTTACAGGTTTCAGTTGCCATCTTTTCAGTGTACTACCAGAAAAGTGAGAAGTGAAGATGATGTTTTGGCATTACTCTTCAAATTTTTCAGTTCCTGGGGTGATGGATGTTTATAGTGTAGCTTGTGGTCAGCAGCATACCGTGGTGGTGACATCCAGTGGCAGAATATTTGTGTGGGGAAGTAACAAACATGGTCAGCTAGGTGTGGATCCTACCCTCCATTCAACTGTCATCACCCCTAAAGAAATATTTTTTCCACAACGACCTGATGGTGGATGCATACTGCTCTCTGGCTGGACACATGTTGCCATTCTAACAGGTGCCTCTCCTCAGTTAATATGGGTTTCAAATGTAAACTCTTTTTGTAACATAATATTTCTTATTAAATTCAACTGCAAGATTAACCAATTATTTCTATAGAAACCCTCAAGTACTCACCTATATGATCAAAACTGTAACAAAATACACTAAACAAAAGCATAATCTTGTCAAGTGTATATGAGTGCACATTCTCTCATATTAGTAAATAATTTATTTTGATTCCTGCCCATTTCCTTTCTATAATGACACTAAATATTTATGTTTTTGTAGATGGTGGCAAAATAATTAACTGGGGAAGAAACACGTATGGACAGCTTGGATGTCACGAATATCAGCGACCACTTTCCTGGAAGCCTCAGATAATGGATAATATAGAAAATGTGACACAGCTGGCAGTTGGTTCAGAACACAACATTGCAATACTTGGTATATTTGAACTTATTTTATATATAGTATGTTAATACTAATAGATATATTAAAAATATGTGAAAAATAGAATTCACGTCAAAATAAATACAAATTGAATGTTAAGAGCAGTATTATGGGCTTCATTATAAGTCATTTTTTAGTAGGTTACTTCCATCTCTCTATGTAAAACCAAAGTAATAAATAATCGAATGAAAGAATTCAAGTAAAATGAAGAGATTTCAGTGATCAGCAAGGAAAATTTGTAAGCATTTAGCACACCAGAAAGTTTTCTCCCATGTGGTAAATTATGATTTCTTATTTATATTTATCATGCGGTAGTGTAGTTGGTTGATGTACTATGCTACAAGCTGGAAGGTTGCGGGTTCAAGTCCCAATGAGGTCATCAGATTTTTTAAATTGACCTAATCCTTCCAGCCGCACTATGGCCCTGGGTTTGACTCAGCCTCTTTAACAGAAATCAGTACCTGGAATACTCTTGGGAGTAAAGGGCAGCCAGCATGTAGGGCTGACAACCTTGCCGCCATCTATGAGCCGATTGTCTAGAAAATGTGGGAACATCAACATCTCAACCCTATGGGCCTCCATGGCCTGTTGCAGGGATACCTTTACTTTTACTTCTCTATTTATTTTTATATGTTTAACAGTAATCTCTTAACTCTCTTGTTCTGAGACTTGAAAGTTCTCACATGGCAATGAAAATTTCTGAAGATGGATGTAGGTTGTTCCTCCCAAATGCTGATACATGTCTACCAACCTATGTGACATTACATCCCAGAAGAGTCTATATTTTTCTTGTTACATGTATGCATTCACTTCTCTCACTTCAGGTACAGGAAGGATAGTTAGCTGGGGCTGGAATGAGCATGGCAACTGTGGTACTGGGACAGAAGAAGATGTGCGAGTCCCTACATCAGTTGGAATGGGCATCAACCAGAAAGCAGTGATTGCTGGAGCTGGAGCAGGACACACTTTTGCTTTATATTTATGACAAGCATTTAACTAAAAGTATACTTGTAATTTTATAGAGGCCATGGAATGAAATAGAATACCATTACCCCAACAACAAAATGGTTTTGTTTTCAACCAGCAATGTTACATGAGAAAGACCCAGGATAGCACAGTCGATATTGTGAATGGCTAGTGGTTGAACGACCAAGAGGTTGGAGTTCAAATCCTGGTGCAGGCAAGAATTTTCACCTTTCCATGTTGTCCAGACTGGCTCTGGGGCCCACCTGGCCTCCTATTCAATAGGTATTGAAGGTAAAGCAGCTGGGGCATAAAGTTGACCACTGACCTCCAGCTAATGCCGAGGTCAAGAAACCATGGGTCTATACATCCACGTCCCATGTCTTCATGGCATAGTGCTTAATTAGTTAAGCACAGGGACAAAAAAGGTTTTACATGAGGTGTGTCTTATGTTTAAGACTCAACAGATGGATCTGACTGTATAGGTCTGCTGGCAACTGCCAAACATTAAACAATTTATGGCTGCTATTGGCTTGCAACTTTTATTTTACAACTAATGAGAAGAATATATTTTATTTTCTCATATTCAGTTTAAATTCCATTATTGTCTACTGAATTTTGACTGCAGGAATTCTGGTTATTTTTATAAGAAGATATCTGCAGACTTCTATTAATTATGGTTACAGAGGAGTTGTGCTGCCTAGGTTATCTTCTGCATCTTCTGCACTGTGAAGTAATGTTCTGGAGGAACCAGAACCACTTGCATTACTCCATAGCGTCATAATTTAAATTTGTAGTGCTATGTAAACCTAGACTGATCTGGCTCAGGATAGGGACCAGTGGAGGGCTCTTGTGAACATGGTAATGAACTTTCGGGTTCCATAAAATGCTGGGAAATTCTTGAGTAGCTGCAGGGCTTCTCCTCAAGAAGGGCTCAACTCCATAAGTAAGTAAGTAAGTATGTGCTGTGTAAACCTATAATCTCATACAGCTGTACTGGTATTGCAGATGCAAATTGTATCTAATTATAAAACTTCAGATACACAAAAGCAAGATTTCTAGTAGGAGAATGTACTTACTTACTTACTTACTCATGGAGCTGAGCCCTTCTGGAGGAGTCGCCAATTCTGCAGCTACTCAAGAATTTCCCAGCATTTTATGGAACCCGAAAGTTCATTACCATGTTCACAAGAGCCCTCCACTGGTCCCTATCCTGAGCCAGATCAGTCTAGGTTTACATAGCACTACAAATTTAAATTATGACGCTATGGAGTAATGCAAGTGGTTCTGGTTCCTCCAGAACATTACTTCACAGTGCAGAAGATGCNGTATACCCATTCCTCATCTCCTCCATTCGTGCTACATGTACTGCCCACCTCATCCTCCTTGACTTGATCATTCTAATTATACTTGGAGAAGAGTACAAGTTATGAAGCTCCTCATTATGAAGTAGGAGTGTGTATAGCTAAAATTATTGACAGGACTGAAATATTAACATTGAAAAAGATATAGATACATTTTCAAAATAAATAGAACGTGTGTATAAGAAGAAATGGTTAAAAACTTAGAATGTCAGACACAACAACAGCTTCAGTCAAAGTCACAGAATAGTAATGTGCAACCAAAATTTTGATCTCAATCTGAAGGAAAAATGAAATTTATCTCTTCAAGACATCCACATCCTCTTATGAAAATATGTTGCACTATTACCTTACATTTATCTGAATAGTATATGTATTGGGTTTATAAACAGTAAATTAAATGGAAGCTCCACTAAGCACCTGTCCTATTACTAAAATATAATCCCTTTCTTCTGATAGTATCTTGGTTAAACTAATAGCTCTGGCAGGGATATGATGGACAAACATCTGCTACACCAAAGTTAGAAAAACTGTGTGCATGTAAAGCCTATTCAGAAGCTCCTGAAGTATAGCACTTTTACTGCAATCATACCAATTATGAAACAAAATATATACAGCAGGCTTATTGCAGGAGTAAGTTGCAAACTTTTTCAAGAGTGAAACAAACCACTGAACCATTTTCGGTTACTCAAAAACAATTATAAATTAACATTTGAGTAACAATTTTTCATACTGGAACAAAGGTATGTAATTTCACATCTTTGTTTTAAGCATTGTTTTTTTTTAACCATTTGTATTACTGTTACCCTGTTAATGGATGGAGTTTAATTATCCTTTATATGTGATGGACCTTGATACACTGGCATTGAAAAATAAGGAAATTGATGTTTTCCTGGGCTAAAATCCCCTTTTTATGTTTTGGTGTTAGGAAAATAATGAATATATTTAAACACAGTTTTAAAGCTTACCTTCATGATGTAATATTGTTGGTGAGACAAAAGATCTCAGTTTATTCTGGACAGATTGCATTCCTGGAAGGATGGATCAGAACTACAGAACCAATATAAAAATGTTCTATCAGACATCAAGTTTTAAGGTTGCGTCCTGGTGAAAAGAAACAAACGTAAACTGAAACAGTTGTCTCAAATTTGCATCTCTTTTAAGAAATCGTTCAGAGCCACATCAGCACTATATAAGTTCAAGTTATTCATTATCATTATGAAGCCCACTTTCATGCTGTAGCACTTGAACTGAAATAAAGAATGAAATTTGTCTCAGAAGCCTTTATTACAGATAATGAATAAATGTAATCATTTCCATTTATATAGACACGTTTTGATCTTCAAAGAATTATATTCAGTGTCTTCTTCTGTTTTCATGGTTGAATAATCACCTAATTGTACGCTTTTACAGATTTTGCTCTCTTGTGTTCGATACAAACATTCACACATTTCACATGCACAGTATATCTAACATTTATTCAATAATTGTGATAAAGGCTTGTTGGACAGGTAGATAATGCCATTGTATAATCAAAGTCACAAAGACAAGAGGTTAAAAGATAAAAGTTCAGTACCATTCTTCAAGACATCCAGAATGAATCACTGGACACTTTGCAGCTCTGCTCTCAAGGCAGTGCATAAGTGCAGACATAAAGGAACTTTGTCCTTTCGTAGCCATTAGTTCAGACTTCTTTTGAGGAAAGTAATACTACAATACCTGAAGCAAAATACTTTTTTTTATTTATGTATTTTTACACAGTAAGGTAGAGAAAATATTCAATTACCAGAATAATAACCCTCCTTCAACCCACAACACACTTTCATCCTGGTAAGTGATTTCTTCTCCTTGCTTTGATTAATGAGTTTCTTTTAATACAGCTTCTCTTTCTTACATATGTACCAGATCCACTGGCTTTTGCCTATTCCATATACATTATTCAGATATTGTTAACCTGAGAGTTTGCAATTTTATTCACTAACAACTAATAAGAATGAATTATACCTTTGTACATTACACTGGAAACAAACGATTACTACTCCACAGTCCTGGAAGTTTGCTACAATCACCTGTAGCTCAACTGTGATTTCAATGTTAAACTTTACTGCTCATTTTCTTATTCAGAATAACTGCAATATAACACATACATAAATCTGTGTGATCAGTTCAATAAAATATTTATTAATGTACAATATATAATCTAGTCCCACTCCCATTTTGCATCTCCCATCACTCACATTTACTCTTCACTGTAACCATTATCATGTTAGTCTGGTGAATCAGGTACAGGGCACTTACAAAAACAGCATTTGCTCTGAAAGGCAAGCAGACAGTATTGCACATTACACACTCTGTATACTCCTTCTACTATGGTAAAGAGGGTATGTAATTTTCAGCAACAGACTGTTACATCATTAGTGGAAAGTTACTAGCGTCTGTTTTCAACATACATCTGGTATTTATATGTCAGTGGCAAATACAAACATACATACAAAGGATTTTGTTTCTGTGAAGTTGCAGACACATACCCTGGTACACAGAGTAATTCATTTTAACACTCATCATTTGCTTGCATCACAAAATACCATTTTAAAAAGTATTCAAATAACTGTTTTCAATTTAAGTTTCTAAGTACCTCTTGAACTGACAATGAAGCTTCATATGTTCCATAACAGTAAAACAAAACTGTGCCTCATCAGACAAATGAATAATTCTAATCAAATATGAAACTTAATATCAGACATACAGCATCAAGCTGGACATATTTTAATGAAGATTTGGGATCATCAAATCAAGGAGGAAGAGACAGGCAGGACATATAGCACATATGGGGAGATGCGAAATGCATACAATATTTTTGCCCCAAAATCTGAAAGGAATTAACTGGGTGGGAAAGCGAGCTGGATTCAAGTGGCTTAGGGCAAGATACAGTAGCATACTCCTACAAATATGATAATTAAACTTTAGCTTCCATGACATGTGGGCAATTTGTTGACAACATAAGTGACTGCCAATTTCTTATCAAGAATTCTGCTCTATCTGCTCTATGAAGTGAGTTTGTACTTTAAAAATATAAAACACAGATGCTAAAACTACATCACAACAGTATACATTGTATCTTGTTCATACCACAAATTCATGGAAAAGTGAATTATGTCATGGTCATATTAAATGATAAGGATCAAAAAACAAAAACTCCGTGGCCTGTAGTCTGCAAGCGAACTATAGTGAGCAAGTGGCCGCCACTTGTCGGTGAAGTTAGTGCGAACTTTAGCGGATAGAGGGTGTCATGTGGTCAGTACAATGGTTCTCCACAGTCATTAATCTCGGTTTTCTATATAGGAGCCGCTATTTCCTTTAAATACTTCCTCAATTATCCTCACGAGGCTGAGTGGACCCTGTTTCAAAACCACTACTCAGAAAATCTGGTAGTGCCGGGAATCGAACGCAGACCTCTGGATCTGTAGCCACGAACTGTGACCACTAGACCACACAGGTGGTCAATGATAAGGATCAGAATATAAAAATGTTTATCTATGCCTCAGCACATCTGTGGAAAAAATGAGAACCCCAGCAACAGAGCTGGCTTTGAAATAATGCATGTATATAATGTTTCCGGAAATTAATCACCTAGAACGACTTAGTCTTAACCAGTCTCACTCTTATTTGTCCTCCAAGAAATGAAAATATAGACTTACTGTCCCTCTTTGAAGTACTCCTTCAGTGTGTTGCTGAAGCGCTTGGAGAACTTGACAAACTCACGCTTCCGCTGCTCCAGAGCCTGCTTACCAGTGGTTCCAGGGATGAAGCCTGCCACCTCATTCACAGCATCTAGCAATTTCTTAATTGCACTAGCTATCTCTCTGAAAAGGGCGAAGTGAATTTTAAAACACGTAATTTCGAAAGCAAAATATGTCATAATTACTGAAAATAAGACATACTTTATTGTTTCTAGGAATGTTTTTCGATCGATTATTTCATCTGGAATCCTGCTCAAAATCCTCTTCAGTGCAGATGACTTTCTGTTTAACTCTTGAAATGCATCTTCTGACCTACTCAACCGATACTCCACCACTGAAAAGACAAAAGAAACAGCCAGAGGGTCAATAATCATACACGTGCTCATTTCTCATACAATAAAACATTCAGTAACAGACAATGATTTAGAATAAGGGCCTTCTGCAACCCATGCCACAAAAGATAATGAAGCATTAAATTACATATGCTATTTCACCAAAATTCATTTATGTATATAAGACTATTTAAAACACATATCACTGAGTGATTTTTAGGTTGTATCAACAAAGTGGTATCAGAAAGTTCCTGGACTGTTATTGTTGTTAACTGCCTCAATGAAGAAGATGAGAGGGGAGGCCAAGGTCACACTTCTGCGAGCCTATTGCATCAGTCTGCCACATGACACTGTACTGCGAACAAGCACTGTTTTCAGTCAAGTGCTTTTTTGACTTTGTGTTTTGTTTTGTCTGCAATGGATGGAAAAGATGAACAACATGTCTTCATCAAGTTTTGCATGAAGCTCGGCAAATTCGCTACCAAAACCCCTAAAATGCTTCATGAGGCTTCTGGACAACATTCTTTAAGCCGGACAGAGGTTTCTGAATGGCATTCACACTTCAAGGCCATTCGAGTGTCAGTTGAAGATGACATACATTCGGGGTGACCAAGCACCAGCAGAACAACAGAAAATGTTGAAAAAATTTGAGAACTCATCAACGGAAACTGTCGCCAAACAATCCATGAGCTTGCAGACACCGTTAGATCAGTTATGGAGTTTGCCAGGAAAAACTTAACAGATAATTTGAACATGCGCCACAATGCTCCATCATCACGACAACATACCCACCCACACATCCCTGAAAAACACAGAGTTTGTGACTAACAACAATGTGGTTATCATTCCCCATCCTCTCTGCTCACCTGATTTAGCCCCCTGTGATTTTGTTCTGTTTCTCACATCAAAAATGAAACTGAAGGGATGACGTTAGAAGGAGATGGCAGCCAAAATTGAGTAAGTTAAGCCAGCATTTCTCCTTGTACTGTAAGACTTCTATGCAACTACAAGAGTTGTGCAGTAAGTTATGTACCTCAGTATGAAAATAGAACAAATGTGCATTAACAGGTAGTGACTTGTCCCATGGGGGTGTCATCTCTGGGGTTCAAATGTGTTCAGTCATAACATATTCTTCACAGATCTGTGTGTCAGTGTCAAGCATTTAGAAAACCTCACTAATCTGACATTAAATTCTTCATGAACCCTAACTACCAAATTCATGACATTAGCTTCAATTCCTTATGGAGCTTTCACCTCCTTACTAATAATTCAAATCCTGAAGTGCCATTCAGCCGGTCACGGCAGCCGAGCGGCCTACTGCATGTACTGTCTTTGCTCGCTTGGAAACCGGGATCATGGGTTCGAATCCCACTCAGGGCATGGATGTTTAGTTTGTGTGTGTGCGTTTTTCTGTTTGTGTACAGGCAGAGGCCTTGCGACGAGCTGATCACCCACCCAAGGAGTCCTACTGAATGTCTAAAATCTAGGAAAACTGAAGTGAATGGAGAAGTTCATGGAGGTAGGCCTAGGCCCACTGGGGCTGTAGTGCGAAGAAGAGGAAGAGGAGGAAGAAGAGGAGGAGGAAGAGGAGAAGGAAGAGGAGAAGGAGGAGGAGGAGGAGAAGAGAAGACCCATCATTTGGGAAACATGTTGAAGCTTCTGGCCAAAAACTCTGTGGCAAAATTAAGACCAAGATAAAGAATGACAACATAAAAGTACCAATTTCAGGTCATGAAATCGGGATTTTTAAGGTTACAGTTAGATTATTTATGAAGAACCATAAATTGTTCCTGTGCTTAACTAATCGAGCACTATGTCATGAAGGCATATGGAGGAGTGGATGTATAGATCCAAGTTTTCTTGACCTCAGCACCAGCTGGAGGTGAGTGGTCAGCTTCACACCCTGGTCACTTTACCCCTGGGGAAAGAGCCCTCGGTACTCATCGGATAGGAGGATGAGCGGACCCCAGAGTTGGTCTGGACAACACGGATAAGTGAAAATCCTTGCCCCCACCAGGACTCGAACTCCGACCCCTTGGTTGTTCAGCCAATAGGCAGTCGCTATACTGACTGTGCTAACCTGGCTCTTTTACGAAGAACCATGCTTGACTAAAGTGCTGTATTAGGAATCAAACCAGTCTGAAAGTTATAACGTATAAGAATAATTGGAACCTTTTACAGATGATACAGATATCTTCTGCTTAGAAAAGTAAGATATGAAAAGCGGATTCATTACTGAGATCTGAAATCCACATGACATAAAACAAGCAAACTGGAAATACTGCATCAAAAATGTACCAGTACGATTGTGACCAAAGCTGCTGGAATTCAAACCACATAAATCTATGATCACTCATCAATCCTAAGCTGGCTTTGTATGTCACCAAAAAAATCAACACAAAAAGAAATTGACAACATCGAGTTCTTTTCCATGTATTGCCCATCACAGAACTCTGCATTATGTGAAATGGCAGCTACTCCACAATGGAGTCTCAAAAGGCAAATCTGTATTACTCATAATGTTCAGACTCTCAAGAAAATTCTTACATAAAAGCAAGATCTTCCAATCTGATATCCAGCAATGAAATAAACGGAAACAGTGAAATAAAGAGAGAATAAAAATAAGCTACGTACAACTCACCATCTGATTCAGAGGTAGTGCCCTGTAGCCTCAGGACACTCTCATTCATATTGATACTGAGGTCTCCACGTCTCATGATACCAACCACCAAGTCATATGTGAATCCAGGATGTGCAGCTTCAACTTTTGAAAGGGCAGCCCGAAGGGTTTGTGAAGCAGCAACATCACGTCTTTCCAACTGCAACATGACAGTTTCATCATCATAATTTTACAACTAGATGCTAGAAATTAACATGTCAACATCAACATTTCCTTATATTCATGATGAATATATAAAATTAACTGGAAGCAAGTACATATTTCCTTATTAATATTTTGTCATGTGTAGGGTGGTATGCATGACGAAATGACAAGTACCAGTTCGGATGATTGGATTTATTGGCACTTTAGTTACAATCTCTCTTAATAACATTTACTACAGCACTATCACTGATTTACATTTTATAGTTCACAGTTACACACAGTATTAAGTGCAGTACTTTGCTTCATATGGCTTTCTGATTGTCCCTTGCTTCATGAAACAGATCCCAGATGATAAAATCTTAATTCAGCTACCACCTCAGCATCATGCTGGATGTGGGAGACTGATTTCTCTTATTCATGGCACTGTTTACAAGTGTGACCATTTGCTACTAGTAGCTGCAGACTTTTATGGACTCACTGCACATTTTTCACATCAGTACTAACGACTGGTGAGAGCCAGAATAGTGCAGACAGTATAGCAATTTGCTACAAGCTGCATGACCAAGAGTTCAGTGTTCGAGTCCCAGTTGGGTCTAGCATTTTCTCTTCTCCACATTGTCCAGACCGGTTCTGGGGCCCACCCAGCCTCCTATCTAATGGGTACTGGGGGCTCTTTCTCCAAGGATAAAGCGGCCTAGGCATGAAGCTGACCACTCACCTCCAACTAGTGCTGAGGTCAAGAAAGTGTGGATCTATACATCCACTTCCCCATATGCCTTCATGGCGTAGTGCTTAATTAGTTAAGCACAAGGAAAACTTTATTTTTTTTAACAAATACTGGTGTGTGGGGGGGGGGTGCACATACATACATACATGCATGCACAGTTGCATGAAGGTTAGTGTATAGGGGTTTTAACCCATTAAGACTCCAGCAAGAATATAAATTTTGCATGTGTTTTGAGAACTCATTTCTTCTGTTAATGCAAATTTCAATTTATCTCAGATTATCAGTACTGCTATAAGAGTACTACTGGAACTTCAGTACACTTGTGGACTTACTTGTGTATTTATCATCATATTATTTCTGCCATAATCTGAACTTTCTACTTGTTTATACACACTTTACCTATTCACATAGCTGCTGCCATTTGGTAATGCAATTCTTAGCTTGTTTCAGCTCCACTCACAGCTCACAAACACACCAAACCTTTATGTTACAAATAACATGGCAGCCAACTTAAAAGCACTCTTAAAAACTGCATGTATACTGTAATGTGTTCAAATACTACATTATCTTTAAAACATCAAATAAAGCGGCAAGTAAACAGCCAATTAGTATTTTATTGCAATTGGGTGTTCACCCGGTGGCAGTAGATCTTACTGATACAGAAAAGGAAAGACTGTAAAGAACAAGGAAACTATCTTCTAAGCTACTAAAGATACTTCCCCATAAAATTTGGTTTCTGCAAGTAGTTTGAGTAGGTATGTATTACTAGCTATATTGTCACTATTCAGAAGCGTAATCTCGAAAAATACACCAGATACAAAAATTAAATAAGTAATCCCAAATGTGTGATTTGCCAACAACTTCTAAGAAATTATACTGCTGTACCAACATTTCAATGCGATTGTGTACGAAATAAAACGAAATAAAATTCCAATGTATCCTACATTTGTGGCAACTATAACCAAGTATGGGCATTTCTCCCCAAAACACATGTGAAAGATGTAAAATAAATATGTACTAGTTCACATCCAGTCTTGTACATACACTAACACACATCACCTACTTTCATCATTACCTGTGATAAAATGGGTCGTATTAAAACTGGAAGAACAAGTGATGTTACTGGTGTCTCATCTCCCATTGTCATCGTTCACAGTATCGTCTATTCGACAGCCACCACCTTAAAACACTAACTATGACCCGTCTTAAAAGTCACTGTGAGCAGACAAATTCAGTTCTGATCAATTCCGTACCGTCAACAAAGGCGACATTTGCGTACTGGTAAGAATCGATATTGTAGATATTGTCCGATTATATCGATATATCAGTTTCGATATTTCTGCAGTTGTGCATGGGCAGAGCTTTGAATTGAACTTTCGTTAATAATTTATGTCATCCGAGTATAGGCATTGTGACACCGTGCAGTCCTGTAGATGGTTATAAACGTTTCGTAGAAACATGTTGCCTCCCTCTTCAAGGCTGAATTTATATTGGCTTTGTTGAGGTTCTCACTGCGGCGGCTATGAATTCCTGTCTTCTATCTATAGTACGGTTACTACCAAACGACGTTTCGGAGGAATATATCGCCTCTAGGTACGCGAAGCAAGGAACCAAAATTAAGCAGCTCTCTATTCTGTGCCAATTTCGTATGCAAAATTAGCCTTGGGCGGAGGGTACACTGAGAAGCAACTAACTGATCTGATCACAGACAAATCGTACAAAACCAATCATAAAGTTCATTGTGTGGCTTATGTCACCCATAGGAACATAGATAAAACCCGATAACACTTGTCTGCTGACAGTGACTGCAGTAAAATATATCATTTAATAATTGCAATGCTTTGCATGTGGTTAGTTAAGGAAACTCCTGGGAGAAGACTACAGATGTCTGTTTAGTGCTTCTTTACCCTTATCCTATACCAATTACAAACCTGTGTTTTGCCTCAGCAGAAATTTCACATGTAGAATTATGCTACCGCCTGCCAAAAAGGACCTTCAGTAGGTGCATAGCTTGTAATTCCTTACATCAACACTCATTAAATCATGGTTCATGGAACCGTTCAACTTCTAGTGAGAAATGCTGTACATAATTTTACAATTTCTACATAAATATAATTACTAAATATACCAAATTAATTTAAAAAATTACCAATGTAATTACTGGAATAAAAATAGTCATCTTGGAATTATTTCTACCACAAGGAAAACGTGAATACTGACTGTTGTCTTGACCACAGTCACACTGAGCTGATGTCATGACTCCTTACATGAAATGTGTGATACTGTTTACTAAAGCTGAAATGCACTAAATACGAGAAAATTGTAAATACTGCATCAGTACACTGTTTATATGAAGCTTTAGTTGGGACCGGGAAAAATATTCCACATCATATGCAGGAAAGCTAAATTGGTATTTCACTGTAAATGCAGCAAAATAATTCTGACAATATTTCTTTGGTGCGTTAATTAACGACACTTTCAATACAGAGACTAGCGTCAGGAAATTAATTCTGATTCAGCAGTGCAACTAAAGTAAAAGTGCACCACAAATAAATGAAGTAATTTGTTGTATCACATCAAGCTCAGAAAATACAAATTTGTTGTAAATAATATACAAAATGAGTACAATGCATCTTTCATTTATGTGTGGTTTAAGGATTCTGTCAGTAGCACAGCTATATACCGCCAAATGAACAATTAACTGGAAAGAATGTGAAAGGTAACTGTGGATTTATTTGTGGTACTAGTGTCACAATAGCCTGGAGCGATTTGGGAAAACCTCAATCAGGATATCAGGCCTCAGCACGATTTGTGCCTGACACTTCCTGAATGACAGAGGAGTATTGCCCACTTGACCATTTCGTTCCAGGGTATGAAAATTTCCTGACATTATAAATAACCAATTATGTACAACTGTAATATAGCCAGACATATTAAGTAGTACTGTAGCAATAAGAGAATTACATGAATCAAGGTTGCAGCATAATCTTACAGCACTGCCCAGACTGTTTTTCTCTGGGGTTGATCTTCTGTGGGGGTCATAATTTAAGAATAAAGTGGGAGGAAGGAATGTTTACATGACATGTCATATTACAGTTTGAAGCTACGCTAAAATATTTCTGTAAGCATTAAAAGTGTCTATATAGCACAGTAGCATATAACTGACTATAAAGACATTACATTTTTATGTCTCACTGTGCTCATCTAGTTTATGCATATATCCTACCTATTCTGGCAATGGTACACATGTGTTCTTTAATTTCTGTGAGAATAAGTAACCCACACACATAGAGGACTGAGATGTAAGGGTGAGCCCTGTGCTGTAATCCAGGGGTCTCCAAACTTTTCAAACTGCGGGCCACATTAGGTAATTCAGCACTTTCAACGGGCCGGATAAAATGATAAATCAATAACTCTAGGTATGTGAGTTTTATTGAAAGCACAGAATTTCATAAACTAAATACGAAGTATGTGAGAATAAATTATTGTATATTAACCTTTAAACGCTGGACTTCTGAAATAGTGGTAAGCTTGAGTTGGCCGGAGTTTATTTAAATGCCCGTTGCTACTGTGCGTTTAAATGTCCATTTCTGTTGGTGCGCCTAAACAATTTTAAGCATTGTGTTTAAAAATGCTGTATCTAACTCAATTTTTATGATAAATGGATGGAATTATACTCCATTTTCAATTTTTTGTCTTTTAATTTTGATGAGTACTGCAAAAATGATTTCTCAGTTCTTCACAGAGTTGTTCTGCATTACAAATTCATTTCTGTTTGTAACACTTGACAAATTTTAGTAGTCCCTGATGTCATAAAACAGATGGAAGCAATAAAATCATTTGGTCTTCTGCTAGCACTGCTTACACTCTTCGGATTTTAGAATCTTTTGACTGAAAGTCAGAAGAATGAAAGAATGGCTATTCAAGAGAAAGCTAGAGAGGTCCCTTCTTCAGTGCTAAGACATTCCGTTATAGCTGCAAAAGCTTATTGCCCTTTCTAGGATCCTGAACAGACAGCTGCATCGCGGCTGAGATTGAGAGTGCGGTCTGTTTTCTGTGCGTACTTAGTGAAATCGAATACTGTAGTTTTATTTCAGCCTATATATACATCAAGCAGATAACAACAAGAAAGGTATGTACATCGAATTTTACTATATATTTTTAACAGATTAATCTGCAGAATCTGCAATTAAAGTACTGGCTCGTGGATGAGTTTGGGCATAACTCATACGTATGCTCTTTTTGTTGTTTTTCACTTAGATATCATTTTAATTTTTCTATTAGGGCTTTACTCAAGTCTGTCTGGTAATTACTACATTTAAAAATAAATATTTAGGACTGTGCATTCGCTTCTACTAGCGGCGTGTGCGCGCGCTTCCCCTAGCGGAGTTTAAATGCCCGACTGGCCAAAACGGGGTACTTTGGCCACGATGACGTTACTCACCACTGGCACAAACGAGGCACTTCGGCACTTAAAGGTTAATGACAACAGACAGTAGCAGCAAATGCTCATATTTTCATCACAAATTATAATAAAACAATTAATGTGAATGATAGAACTCTTTTTGCATTCTTAAAATCTGATTAAATTGAGGTTCAAATTTTGAAACGCTAATCACAAGTAGCAACTTTAAATGTTCATCGGATAAATTTGCCCTGTATTTCAACTTGATGTACTTCACCTGGGAAAAAGTTTGTTCACACAGATATGTCATCCCAAAAATGGAGATAAATTTACAAGCAAATTTCTTTAAATTTGGAAATTGCTCAGAGTTCAGAAATTTACAAAATTTGATCAAATTTCCTTCATTGTATTTGTCTTTAATATCATAATTTTCCTGAAATTCAATAATTTCCATTTGAATTTGACTTGGGACATCTGCAGCATCACAGTCAAATGGATTTTGAAACAATCTAATTTCCTGAGCACTGGAATCCAAATCAACAAATCGCTTCTGAAATTGTTCTTTCAAATCTGAAATGACTAAATTTGCACACGAGGAAGGAAATTCTGCTTCACCCTTTTTATGCAACTCTGCACAGTATAGCATATGAACAAAGTTACAATTTTTCACTTGGCTTTCCAGTAGTATCAACTTTGCTTTGAATGCCTTGATAAGCACAAATAAATCACAGACCAAGTTATTTTCATCCTGCAACTTTAAATTCAAATGGTTCATATGGTTCAGCAGATCAGCAAAAAATGCTAATTTCCAAAGCCACTCGGTATCTGATAAAAGTGGTTCGTGATGGTTTTTCTCGGTAAGAAATATATCAATTTCATTCCTGAGCTGAAAGAAGCGCAAAAGAACCTTTCCACAGCTAAGCCATCGAACTGCAGTATAATATGTTAGGTCAATAACTCGGAATCACATTTACCGGTATTCAATGGAAAATTAGTTCAATTGGCGCATTTCTGCACAATTCTTTTGCAGGCCGGATGTGGCCCGCAGGCCGTAGTTTGGAGACCCTTGCTGTAATCGATGAATGCTTTGGAAGTACACAGCATACAAACACAAAAGTGACAATTTGATTATGGTTTGTTTAAAAAGATACATTAAAAATTATTTTATTTTTTTGGTTACTGCAGTTAAATATATGATAAAAATATATAATAAGTAAAATCTGTATTTTTAAAATAAATGATACAAAACAATATACAGTACTCTGAATGATTTATACAAACAGCTCAATCTGCGGCATTCCAAACACTGTACAATGCAGTTAAAAACATCATGAATATTTTGTATAGCAGTGTTATTCTCCATATCAGTGTAATAATAATGATAAGGGGTACAGAAAGTGCAGAATACACCAGTATTCCAACTCTGATAGTGTTCCACATAACTTCTAATTGCAACTGTTTATAAAAAAGCATAAAGGAACATGAAATATTACAAGCATTAATAAGTGTAGTTGATTAATGGGACTGCTGTCTTAAATATCTATTCCAATGGATATGTAATACAGAAACCAACAGCAGTTGAAGAAGTAGTTTGATTTGACTCATAATTTTATTCTATACAAATATGTCTATACTTATAACAACATAGTATTCAGTATGGAACAATAGCAGTTTCAGTAAATGAATGAAACATATAATTACAGGTATTCAATGACACCTACTGGAAATATACCAAACAATAAATGTGAACTATACAAGTAACTTCTATGGCTATTTATATATAACTTAAACCATCCAACAGATATATAAGAAGTAAAATTTTGGGTTATATTTTGGCTTCTGATGAAATTCTTACAGTGAAATGTCAAATC